TGTATTGCTCTTGTGGAGCGAGGTCGTAAGTAGTATAAGAAGGGTGCAATGCAGGTACTCCAGCACACACAAGCCCAGCCATTCCACACTGACGAATACTATTGGCCTGTTCAGTCTTGTCATGATTCGTTTTTAAGTTTTAGACGTTCTTGCTTTGTTTCCTCGGTATTCCTCGGTCGATTCAAATTATTTCATATTATTTCAGTTGTTGTCGCTGTATGGGTAGCCGCTTAGCCGCGGAGCCTGTTTTGCTTTCTGTGCAAGTCATTGGGACTGTTTCGTTGCTATGAAGACAGGTCGGCATTGGATTCTGAGCAATGGGGCGTCGTCGTGCGTCAACATCTCAGCTCGAAGTCAAACATGTCAGGGCCTTAGAGACCTTAGCCCGCCTTTTTGACCACACTGTTCTTGCTTCATGTCAGATTGGAGCATTACTATTCATTATTTTGTTTAATCAAGTTTTTAAATAGTTTCTTGGGTCATTTTGGGCCAAGCTTTTTGCAAACAAAGAGAGAAAGTGCCAGTTGATTGCAAAAGATTCAAAAGCAATATTGACTCCGGCCACTCGTCGGTTTTAAGCCATTTACGGTATTGGAGCAAGACATTTTTCAGAGGCGCAAGTGTGTAGCATAAATTCCTATGGTATCTCCTATCCTGGTTGTTTGTGTTTTGTGTGCATATGGGACGCCATATGTTTGCACTTGAAAATTTGAAGTCTGACTGTACCAAGGGCAACTTTTCTGCCATCAAGAGCCCAAATCGCTCCAGGTCTTGGGGCCAGGGTTTTCTTTCACCCTCAAAGTCTCAAAGGACAAGTTACATCAAGTTACACCAAGGTACATCAAGTTTATCATCGCCATGATATGGCTGTGTCTTTGTTTAACGTGTGCAGATTTTAGTAAAGGCAGGATGTTCAAGTTGTGCGAATCATACCCCAAAAAATCGCGATTATGAATGTTTCTTTTGGGATCGTTTGGGATGGCATTGGCCTCATTAGTTATAATGGACCTGACAAGCTAATTGACCAGTGTTGGCCAGACCCGATGATCCCTGGCTACCTTCACATACCTTCACGGAATGGCGAATCTTCTCCACGTGCACAGAGTCTCATCATTATCCCTAAGCTGGCTGGCTCTGGGTGGCTGGCTGGCTGGCTGGCTAGGTGGCTGGCTCAGTTGCTGCTGCTGGCTGGGTGGCTGGCTAGTTGCAGCTGGCTGGCTGCGTGGCTGGCTGCTTGCTGTGTTGCTGATGAGGCTGATGAGGGGGATGACTCTGGCTGCGGCTGGCTGGCTGGCTGGCAACCAAACCAAAAATCCGTCGAAGAGGAACATAAGCCTAAGCGTAGCTGAGCTAAAGGTACATGAGAAGAACATCCAGAAGAGACGCCGGCAGGCTGGCGGATATAAATCATAGATGTGCATTTAGATCTTCACATTCTTATTTTCAGGTCCTGTCCAAGGTCGTCTGGCAGGTCGAGCCATTGCAGCCATTGAGTAGCAATCGTAGTAGGTTGACGGACGGTGGCAAAAAGAGACTCAAGCAACAAAGCTTCCTGAATCCAAAGCAGATGGGTTTCCGAATCATGCCCGGATCATACCTCAAACTTCCCAATTCTGAACCTTGGTACATTTGCAGGATCAGAACTTGTGTTTTGTGAGCTCTTTTCTTTGCAACCATTCGCCACGGGCTACACTACAACTCCTGCTGTTTCTGAGAAAAATCGGACAACAGCACCCTGCAGCGGCATCCTGCAATGGCACCAACATGCCAACTCCAAAGCGCACACACCACTTTAACAGCAGCACCTTGAAGCAGCACCCTGCAGCAGCACCACCAGCCAGCTCCAGAGCGGACACGCCACTCTAACAGCTGCACCAAGCAGCGTGCAGCAGCACCCTTCACTAGCACCCTTGCAGCACGAGTTGGGTACAGTACGTACCCTCCTTCCAGCACCCTGAAGCATCACCCCTTCCAGCAGCACCAGCAGGCTAGCTCGACAGCACCCTCAAGCAGCACCTTCCACCCGCATCCGCTCACCAGCATGCCCGCTCCAAAGCAGGGTTTAAAGCACACAACACTCTGACAGCAGCACCTTCAAACATCACCCTCAGGCAGCACCTGCAGCAGCACCCAGAGCGCCACCAGCATGGTTCCAAACTGTACACACCACTCTGACAGCAAGCAACACCCTGCACCAGCACCTTGCAGCGGCATTCCAACGGCACCACGATGCCCGCTCCAAAGCGCACACCACTCTGACAGCAGCACGCACTGCGTCAACAGCATGCCAGCTCCAAAGCACTCCACGTATGGTATAATTACCAACTGTTGAAACATTTTCGTGGTAAGTGTGGGTAAATAACCATACGCGGAGGATGCAGGGACACACTAAATCAAGGTCCGCGAATCATACCCACGAATCATACCCACGAATCATACCCTGAATCATACCCACGAATCATACCCCTTAGTCAAACATCCCGGGTTGGGCACGGCATTTTGAGACATATATATATATATGTGATATATATATATATGATATATATATATATACATATGATATATATCTTATATATATATATATATGTGTGTGCGCGCGCGTGTGTGTTTCTATGATCCAGGAATGAGCAGGCGGGATATTGCGGGGTTTATGATTTGCAGTAGGGCCAGTGGGACGTTGCAGATTTACAAATTGCTGTGCTGGGATGCAGGAGTTGTTCTACGTGCAATCGCACCTGACTTTAAAGACTCTTTATTGCAGATTCTGTTTCGCCTCTTTCTGTGGCATTGGTTATTGACAGAAAACTGAAAACTCTGACCTTTGCACACTGCTGCTTCGCCACAGGGCCGCCAGACTCTCGGAATGCACTGCAGTGCTTTTCCGTATGGTTTTTCTGGTGGTTTTAAGGGCAGCTACCAAACACCAGGGGTTGTCCGTTCTGCCCTACTTGTAAAGGGAAAAATGAAAGCAATATCATAATATCATCGCTTGTGTGCGCATGGAATTACAAATTACGCAGTGCATGTTCTCCTCTGTGAACTTCAGTTTCTGTCTTTGCCTGAGCTGTCGGCGACCGCTGTCGGCGACCGCTGTCGGCGACCGCTGTTTTTCACTTTGTCGAAGGATATATTGTGGACACAGCAGAACATACTGCGGCGCCTTTATTTTGGTTGGTTGTTAATTAAGTTAAGATATTAATGAATACTTCTATGTTCACGATACATTTTATTGCGTTTCGACCAGCTGGACCTTGGCAAGAGTTTTCCAGGACATGGTGGAAGATGGTGATCTTCTGTACAGGTGGATGTTAATGAACTGTTGATCGCCGGCCTGAAATGCATGAGGTCCTGCTGCTAGTCCACGGGCCAGCCCTAGCCCTACTGCAAGCCCAAACAGACGGCTTTCAGAGGGATCACAAGTAAAGGATGTGGGCCTCATGCGTGAGGCATACAGTAAGGCGCGCTTTCATTGGACTTTTGGATACCTTTGGATACCTTTGGTGGGTCTCGCTTTTTGTTCCAAGTTTCTGGCTCCTTCATTTCGGGAGCCAGTTGCAACATTAATCAATTGGAACATGTAGACACAGTAGACAGCAATCAAGGACAGACTTGGACCCCAGAATCTCAGAAGCTTGTTGACCCAGAAATGGACTCTTGAATGACGATGTCATTTGTATATGATATAATTAATATATATATATATATAATATCTCACAAACATACATATTATGTATATACAGTGTGTGATTGCATGTGATTATATGTGCATGTTGTGTATCATGGTACTTCCTGGTTAGATTATGCAGGTTTGATGGAAGTGAAGGTTTGATGCATTTCCATACATTTCCCACACAGAACAACAATGAACAACATACATCCTTGAAACTGCTCAATCTCACTGCATGAGCAATAATAATAAAAAAAGATTATGGAGTTAAGCAGGCATGCTTTGCGATCACAACTGAGACTTGCAATGGATTTAATGGCAGGCCTCACCCCCCATTCACTTCCTAAAGCAAGGCTCCAGCTTGGCAGTACCTGGCAGCGCCTTGGCAGGCTCGCAACATGCTCCTCGCCAAGCGCGCTTCCAGGGAAGAGGCAGAGGATGAAGGACATGAAGGACATGAAGAGCATGAAGATGGCGGCTTCAAACGAGTGGGCAAGGCAAGGTCTTGAGAATTCACGGATATCAACGGGCAGGAGAAATCAGAAGGGGTAGGCAGCAACGGATTGCAGCGGATTGCAACGGATTGAACACGAACCAGAAAATTGAGCTGTTTGTTCCGGTTCCCATGTCCAGTCACTTGAACCGATGACACTTGTAATCACTGGATATCGCTGGCAAGTAATAATAATTCATAATTATATATAATTAAGTATATATATAATTTTCATAGTGCACTACAGTATTGTTCTACATTGTGTTACACTATCCCTGGGCGTGTCCAGAGCATATCCAGGATAGGTCGTTTGCGAAAGACCTAAACGTGAATCTTACGAACTACTATTTAGAGAAGAATGCTGTAGCTGGTGTTTAGGACGCGTATGCCAAACTCATTGGCTATGTTGCGATTCTTATTGCTGTGCGATGAACTAAGCAGGCAAAAAATGGTGCCACACCTTTGCATGGACAAACCGTCCAAAGACCCATTACAGTTGGGGGGACTTTTCGTTCAATCGTGATGAAGGTCGTGGACGGGGCTTGCTAAAACATGATTTTGAGCACGTCACAGGAGAGTGAAGTGGGACAGAATGAACGATGGTTTCGATCTGAAGTGTCTTGATGGCTCCTATTATATCTAAAGTCCCCAAATACGTCTTCAGTTTCCCAAATAAGTCTTAAAGTGAAGACCTATCCTGAATAATATTTTGGACTTTTTGGCTAATGATACCGTATAATTAGGGCTATAATACCATAAAATCCAGAATCGAAACACTTCCAGAGAGAGCTGCTGTACAATATGGCACATGCTTCGTTGCGTGAGGCTTTGGTGACTGGCATGTCCCATGCCCTCTTCAACCGGAGGGGCAGCAACAAGAATCAAGGTTTGATGAAGTCTCTCATGGCTGCCATCAGCAAGGAGTTCAAATGAATGTGGTACTCAAATCATCTCTGAGCTGCGTTGAGTTCTTTTTAAACATATCATTCCTGCAGAAAAGATCAGGGCCTGAGAAGGTGGCTTTGGTCCGCGTGGGTAGGAGATCATACAGAGGTGTTGCAAAGACTTTTTGTTTGAGCCAATGCGTACTTTGACTAAATTACTATTATTACCAGTAGTACCGCGCAAGGCGGTGGCGGAAGTTTCAGAATGGGAAACCTATAGGAGAGCTTGGTTGTTGTGAATCACGGATGGCAGAGCAAATTCACTGATGGACTGAAAGGTGGTTGGAGTTGTGTTTTTTGGAGTGGTTAGAATGGTTGCAGTGGTCACCTGGTCGGTCACCTCACCCACGACTGCTGGATGTAGTGCAGCTGTAGCTGTAGCTGTAGTGTAGTGGGGTTGTAGTTGTGGTGTAGAGCAATTAGTGTAGCGCAGTTGCAATTGCATTTGTGGTGGTGTAATGGGTGTAGTGCAATGTAATGTAGGGCAGTGTAGTTGCGCGTAGTCTAGTGTAGTGTAGTCTAGTGTAAAGTAGCGTACTTGTAGCTGTAGTTGTAGTTAGGGGTCGTGTAGTGTGGTGTGGTGTAGTGTGGTGTAGCGCAGTGTAGAGTAGAGTAGTGTAGCGTAGTGTAATGTAATTAGTGTAGTGTAGTGTGTTGTGGTGCAGTGTGGTGTGGTGCAGTGTGGTGTGGTGTAATGTGGTGTGGTGTAGTGTGGTGTAGTGTAGTGATGTGTAATGTAATTAGTGAAGTGTAGTGTAATGTAATGTAGTGTTATGTACTGTAGTTGGAGTTGTAGTTGTAGTTGTAGTTGTAGTTAGTGTAGTGTAGTGTAGTGCAGTGCAGCGTCACTGAATGTAGTGTATTGTAGTTTGTTAATGTAGTGTAGTGTAGTGTGTTGGAGTGGAGTGTAGTGTGATGGAGTGTAGTGTAGTGTAGTGTAATGTAATTAGTGTAGTGTAGTGTGGTGTAATGTAGTTGCAGTTGTAGTTGTATTGTGTTGTGCTGTAGTGTAGCGTAATAAGTATATAATATAATGCAATTAGTGTATTGTAATGTAATTATGGTCAGTGCCGGAATTATAGAACGGAAGTTGAGGAGGACGAAGGTACGGTTATTTACCGTACCCTGTTGTTCTATAATTCTGTTTTCCTCGGAAGGTATGAAAAAAATGTATCTGATCTTCCTCCTAATTTTTTCGTCGTTCTATAATTCTTGTCGGAGCGCTGTTGTTCTATAATTCTGTTTTCCACCATTTTTCTCACATTTCCCATTTTCGTTCTATAATTAATTTTCCCCGGGCCCCGTTCTAATTATAGAACGGAAAATTAATTATAGAATTATAGAAACTCTTCCGGGGTCCCAGAAATCCTGTAAAATCACCATGAAATCTAAGAAAATCACCGTGAAATCCCATAAAATTACCATGAAATCCCATAAAATCACCATGAAATCTTATAAAAGCACCATGAAATCTAAGAAAATCACCTGGTAAATGTGGGAAAAATGGGGGAAAACAGAATTATAGAACGGAAGTTGAGGAGTACGAAGGTACGGTTATTTACCGTACCCTGTTGTTCTATAATTCTGTTTTCCTCGGAAGGTAGAAAAAAAACGTATCTGAATTTACTCCTAACTTTTTTCGTCGTTCTATAATTCTTGTCGGAGCGCTGTTGTTCTATAATTCTGTTTTCCCCAATTTTTCCCACATTTCCCTCATTTTATCATCATTTCCTCATCAAATCCTCATTTTATCTTCATTTTGTCCTCATTTTATCCTCATTTTATCCTCGTTTCCTCATCAAATCTTCATTTTATCTGCATTTTATCTTCATTTCCTCATCAAATCCTCATTAAATCCTCATTAAATCTTCATTTTATAGATTGTATATGTACAAATATGCAGTAAATATCATGTCAGTGCCAGAAATTATAGAACGGAGCCAGGAGGACAAAAGTACGGTAAAATACCGTACCTTTGTCCTCCTCCCCGTTCTATAATTAAATTTCCCGACTCCGCTCCGAATCGGAACCCGGAGGAGGACAAAGGTACGGTATTTTACCGTACTTTTGTCCTCCTGGCTCCGTTCTATAATTCTGGCACTGACTGTAGATGTAATTAGTGTAGTGTAGTGTAGTTGTAGTGGTAGTTGCGTTTGTAGTTGTAGTGTGGTGTAGTGTAGTAGTGCAGTGTAACTGAGCGTGGTGTAGTGTAGTGAAGTCTAGTGTAGTGTAATTAGCGTAGTGTTAGTGTAGTGTTAGTGTAGTGTAATGTAGTAGTAGTTGTAGTATTGGTTGTAGTCGTTGTTGTGGCTGTAGTTAGTGGAGTGTGGTGTGGTGTAATTGAGTGTAGTGTAGTGTACCAGTAGTGTATTGGAGTGTAGTGGAGTGTAGTGCAATGTAGTGGAATGTGATTAGTGTATATAGTCTAGTGTCGTGTAGTTGTAGTTGCAGTTGTAGCTGTAGTTGTAGTTGTAGTGTGGTGTAGTGGAGTGTAGTGTAGTGTAGTGTAGTGTAGTGTAGTGTAGTGTAGTGGTGGTTGTAGGTGAAATTGCTACAAAACGCTCACATTTTGCTCACTTTTGGCAAGGTGCAGAATCCCTTGTGCCTGCCACGCAAAACGACACCTGAACGTCCAAAAGTGCTCCAAACTGCTCATTTTTTTCAACTTTTGACTTTGAAATGTGCTTCGCGCCACAACGGCGTGCACTTTTTCGACATCTCAACTTCCAAGAGTGCTCCGAACCCGTCAGTTTTTAACACTTTTGACTTCGAAATGTGCTTCGCGCCACAATGGCGTGCACTTTTTCGACATCTCAACTTCCAAAAGTGGTCCGACCCTGGTGTGTTTTGTACATTTTGACTTCGAAATGTGCTTCGCGCCACAACGGTGTGCAATTTTTCATCTCTCATCTGGCCAGCTGGCTCCGCACCCGCCGCTTTAGCGAGCCTACTTTTCGACCCTCCGGAGTGCCAAATCATTGGAAAAACACAGTGTTTCGCGACTTTCCTACCTTTTCACGCATCTGCATCTTCTTTCTTCTGAGACTTTCTCTTATTTGATTTTCTTTCTTCTTCCCTTCTCTTCTCTGACTCTTCCCATCTCTGCTTTTCATTTGTCCATATTGTCGGAAATTTGACTTTAAACTTCCTTCGATACTAATTTTCATTCTATTTCATTTTATGTTTGACTTTATTTCACCATCGCCGGAAGCAAGTGCAAGAAAGTGGGTCTCTAGGGTCACCCTGAGCTGCAGGAGAAGATCCTTAGCCGAATCTCAGAGTTGGACCTTGACGAGCAAGTGTCAGACATGCTGGGCGAGATGTACCAGGCATATTTGTGATGACATGATTACCGAGCTAGTGGAAGCATGGTACAAGAATACCGCGGAAGGACTTGACGAAGCATCACAAAGCATTTCGTTTTATTTCGTCATTTCAAAGATACACGGGCGTCCAATTGTGCGACCCGCCTCAATTCCCCCCACACATTCATAATTGAATCCAAGCACCAGTTCGTTCGCAGTGAAAGTAAGATCATGAAGAAAAACATCCTACCGATCCTACCTAATTGTAACATTGTTTCCGTGAAAGTGCCACCTTGCGTATATTTTTTTTACACACGCGCGCGCACACGCACACATACCAGCCAGGGCAGGGTGACCTGATAGCCATGGACAGATGGAGACAGAGAAAATTGTTTTAATTTTGTCTATATGACTATTATTTTATTCTGATTTTGTTCAGGAATCTAGATACTTCCTGCAAGACACCTTTTTCATTTAAATGGCTAAAGGTACAGTAAAGCTATATAACGGAATAAAATTCCTTGAATTCGCATCCTATAACCAACCCGCAGCTGAAACATTACGAAATCATCCCACTGCAATGGATGCAAAATGGGCGCAAGGGCATGATCGAACTCTTGATCGATAACTATGAGCCTTTGGAAGGTGCTTTAGGCATGTCGGCGCGTGCCACAGGGTAAAGCGGGTAAAGCTCTGATGCAGATGTAGTTAATGTAGTTGCACAGGCCCGTGCCGAGACAAGTTTGATTGTGTGGAGACATGTCGGGACTTAGTATACTCAGTATGGACGGTAATAACTGTAGTGAGGGCTCGCTTGGTGTGGCCATTGCGTTCAATTCAGCTGTGCAGGAGAACTGCTGGATGAAGCTGTGACGGGAAGTCAAGACTTGGAGCCCCTTCGATTAAAGGAGTTCAGAGATGTTAAGAACCTGCATCCAGCTTGCGCTTGAACATCATGTTCAAATATGTTCAAGCATATTTGTATGAATCACGAAGCCTTTCAAATTGATTGTGAATTGAGATGCGAAACCTCACTGTTGTTGATGTGTGCTGCTACATTGCACCATATGTTGTCTTTGCGCCACCGTGGCGACAATTGCCTTAGTGGCGAAACCATTTGCTGTTGCATCTTGCTGCAATGGTTTCATAAGGTTGGCCAGTAGGAAAGCACCAAAAACAGATAAAACAGGAGAAGAGTCTTTGCCTGCTGACGCAGTGAAAAGGCGGCAATAGGTTTTGAATGGTTTTGAATCATCAAGCTTGTGATTGAAAATAATTTGATTTTACATGATGCTACTGATGTTTTTTTGTTTTCCTTTGGGTTTGGGTCGGGATGGGTTGGGCATTTGTGCTTTTCTCTTTGTTGTGCTTGAATTTGCACGCCTGGCTCCCAATTTAGTAGCATGAAATGGTATGTACATGCATGTGAAGAACTGCGCAATGAATCTAAGGCTTGCGGGAAGTGTGCGTGTGTGTTAAAATTTCAGATCAGACAGATTGACACATACACCACACGAACATGATTTGAAGGTTTGGAACCTTCTCTTCCTGTTGTTGATGCATCCTTGCATTTCCAAGCGCATCCGAACAATCATTGAAATACGTGCAGCTTGCTCGATAGCTAGGGCCAATTAGGGCCAGCTAGGGTAGTGGTTGCCGGTTCCTATACAAAACCTGGACGAGATTCCTGCAGGTGCCGTAGATTCCGTAGATGGTTCCGCTATGTTCCGCCCTTGGCTCAGGCCATTCATCGACAACCTTCGGGATGCTGTGACAGGAAGTCTCGTGGCTATGCGGAGCAAACAAGAGAATCCTGGCTGCACACGGCACACGTATCATCTCATCAATTGACTACTGTATCAATTACTGTATATAATTCAGTTGTCGATGCTGTCGATGCTGTTCATTGCTAAGGCGTCTGAGTGCGTCTTGCAATTGATTTGTGGCAGATGAGTACTGGCTGATTTTAAAACTTTGCCAGAGAATGTGACACCGTATGTCCCAGTTTAACAATGTGTTGTGTTTTCCTATTGTGACCTGTCTTGACAACCAGGATTATCAGCGTTAGGAGCAAGAATCACTTGATTTTAAAGTTGGGCCATGTTGGACCCGATTGGGCATACCCCTGCCATCGAAGCACTAGGACAACAGAATACAACAGATATCACAGGGTCAGTCCTGGTCAGTCCTGGTCAGTCCCGTCTTGACATTGAGGCCGTTGGGAGTTGGGATCACCAGGCCACAGGACGGAGATGGACTACGAATGGTCGGGATTTGGATTTGCCATTGCTCCATGCTCCAGCTTCGTTGGTCCTTGTTGATTCAACTTGTTGATATATGCTGGTCCATTTTGAACAGAGGACTTGGAGGATACAAAAGAATCTACAATCTACGACAAACTATGGCTATCGTCATGCTGTCATGCCGCACACTACTTGGAATGTGAGGAGATTTTGCTCGACAGGGTGGTTGAAGCTGCTCAGGGGATGGCAAGTGAAATCTCCTACACGAGACTTGGCGGATTTGGGTTTGCTTTAGTTGGATCCAGTCTAGTGCAGTTCCCAAGCTAGAACCTAGAACTCCCCACACAGACCCCTGCTTGCATTGGGAAGTGTTCAAGAGCCACCGTATCTGAAGGGATAGGGGTCAAAAGATAAGTTTTCTGGATCAAACCAACTATTCTGGATCAAAAAATATGCCGGATCAAACACATAATATCATATGTTTGAATAGGAAAGAAGGAGGAAAGAAAGAAAAGAAAAGGAAAGAAAAGAAAAGAAAAGACAAGAAAAGAAAGAAAGAAAAGAAAGAAAGAAATAAATAAAAAAAGAAAGAAAGAAAGAAAGAAGGAAAGAACGAAAGAAAGAAAATAAAGAAAGAAAGAAAGAAAAGAAAGAAATAAAGAAAGAAAGAAGGAAATAACGAAAGAAAGAAAAGAAAGAAAGAGAAAGAAAGAAAGAAATAAAGAAAGAAAGAAAGAGAAAGAAAGAAAGAAAGAAAGACAGAAAGAGAAATAAAGATAAATAAAGAAAGACAGAAAGAAAGAAATAAAGAAAGAAACAAAAAAGAAATAAAGAAAGAAAGGAAGGAAGGAAGGAGGGCATATCATACCATATAATCATATTTATATATTTACATAATCATATTATACATATGAGCATACCAGGACCTTCAAAGGGGTCTCAATTTGGGGGGGTTTAGCATAGGTCTCCATTCGGCACCCCTTGTATATCCCACCTATCTGATTAGTGTTATGGTTGAAGGTCCTGGCATTGACAACTACACTCCTATAATCAATGCTAAAGTTGATGGTTCAATGATAAAGATCGATGGTTCAGTGATTCAATTAATATTGTAATGATATACAAGACAATTCAGGGAGATGGTTAATATGTGGATAGTTTGATGATATGTTCGATAGTTCCAAGATATGACCAATAGTTCAATGAGATATGGGTAGCTGATGGTTTCTAATTGGGATTTAGTCAATCCATCCACAGGGTATCCGCAACTTGCTGCCACTGCCAAAGGCCGCCGCAGCCCTGACGGATGGCAGTCGTTGGGTGGGCAATGGGTTTGAACAATGTTGGCCCACATAAAGGGTATCAAATGGCATCAATCATCTTAAGCTAAATAATCAATTCATATAATTTTAGATCTAACCCTCTGGGAATATATCTAACATCATCTGGGGTTAAAAGGAGACTTTGTTGAGTCCAATTCGCTGGTGCAGCCATGGGGAAAGCTGATACAACCATGCGAGCGGACACGAAGAATCTTTGGTAGTGATTATTAGTGATTCATATTGTTTCCAAACCTTTTCTTTGGGTTCAAGGTTTTATGTGTGTACTAACCCCACAAACAGTACTAATTAATGTCTTGTTGTTCATCATCCCGCCTGAGGATTTTCTTCAAGTCTTTGTTGGAAAAGATCCCGATGAAAGATGTCAAGAAGAATGCTGAGCTGCTCCCTGGGGGTGATCTACGTTCTACACGCAATGCATGGGTTCGCGCTGCTTGGGAACATAGTGGTCTAAAGATGGTCCCCAGGGAGAAGCAAATCCGATTGGCAATAGGAAAGTTGGAGAAGAAACTGAAAATCTGCACCCCACCTGAAGATGGTACATTGCTTTCCTAATTCCTTTTTGACGGTTTTTTATTTGGAGTGGTTGCCTTATTTAGACACATGCACCTGTTGTCAAGATAAGGTGCTTCACTGTCAGATGATTCCATCGAAGAATGGATTCGGGAGCAAGTAGCTTTATCTGATTCAGTCACATTTTTGATGTTCTGCAATTGTAAAGGTGGTTTTCCATGGGTATTTACTATATTTAAGAAAAAAACTATTGGTTGATTTCAAACTGAGGCATGGAGATGCCACGACATCTTGCTGAAACATGCCAGAGGAAAACGTAAAGGGCATGTTTTCAAACCTCCTGGTCAGTCCTCGGCAAACTCTCAGAGACTTGATCATTGATTGTATTGTTTACTTTGTACTGTTTACCACCATGTTGAGGATCCTACAAGAAATCCGTGATGGAAAAACATGTGCTATGATGGGACCCAAATCCCAGTATCAATTCACCAGTACAAAGACTAAGGACCTCTATGGATAACATGGAGACCCAACCGCTAGACCTCAGCGAAATTCCAGCGTTGGATGAAGAAGACCTGTGACTCGACTTCCATTTTAGGTACCCCTGTTTGGTATAGAATTCCTTAAACTTGTTTGTGGTTTTAGTTTCATTCCAGGGACTGCATCATTGTAAAAAAACATCAGGAGAAATTCCGGTGAAGCACCATTGGATGCCGATGGCCTTCCATTCTGTGCTCAAGAGAAGGGTGAGTCGGAAGAAGGAACAGATGATGAAGAGGAGAGAGAGTTTTGAAACTCAGAACCACAGGTTTCTTCCAATCAACTTGCGGATATGGTTCAAGTTTTAACACTTCGTTTGCGGTTTCTCACTTCCTTGGATTACCTGTTCCACCTTCTTTGTCCTGGTGACTCCTTTTGCCCAGCCCACTGAGAGGACGAAGAAGAGAAAGAAGAGAACGATGAAGAGGCAGAGCAGTGCAAAGAAACAGATCTCGATGAAGATGAGACAGAAGAGAAGGAGGACGAACATGAGCGGTGGTCACAGGTTTCAGATAGTTGGCTTACCAGGGCTTACATGAACCCATTTCTGAAAAAGAATCCAAATTTCAGCCCACCCAGTGAATGCATTGACCTCACAGATACACCGAAGAAGCAGTGTGAGGACAAAGCTGGAAAGAAACACCAAGAAGCCAGTGAGGATGAAGTTTCAGGAGACAAGCGAGAAGAAGATGAGGATGAGAAAGGTGCGGAAGCACAGAGCGAAGAAGATGAGGATGAGAGAGGCGCCGAGGAGAAGAGCGAAGAAGATGAGGAGCAAGAGGAGGATCAGCAGAGTGACAAAGATGAGGATGAGAGAGGTGCAGAGGAGAGGAGCGAAGAACAAGAGGAGGATCAGCAGAGTGACAAAGATGAGGAGGAGAAAGACGCCGAGGAGAAGAGCGAAGAAGATGAGCAAGAGGAGGATCAGCAGAGTGACAAAGATGATGATGAGAAAGGTGCAGAGGAGAGGAGCGAAGAAGATGAGGATGGGAGAGGCGCAGGAGAAAAGAGCGAAGACGATGAGCAGCAAGAGGAGGAGCAGCAGAGTGACAAAGATGAGGAGGAGAAAGGTGCCGAGGAGAAGAGCGAAGAGGATGAAGATGAGAGAGGCGCAGGAGAGAAGAGCGAAGATGATGAGGAGCAAGAGGAGGATCAGCAGAGCGACAAAGATGAGGAGGAGAGAGGCGCAGGAGAGAAGAGCGAAGATGATGAGGAGCAAGAGGAGGATCAGCAGAGCGACAAAGATGAGGAGGAGAGAGGTGCAGAGGTGAAGAGCGAAGATGATGAGCAGCAAGAGGAGCAGCAGCAGAGTGACAAAGATAAGGAGGAGAAAGGTGCCGAGCAGAAGAGCGAAGAAGATGAGGATGAGAGAGGCGCCGAGGAGAAGAGCGAAGAAGATGAGGAGCAAGAGGATCAGCAGAGTGACAAAAATGAGGATGAGAAAGGTGCAGAAGAGATGAGTGAAGAAGCTGATGATGTGATGGACATAGAAGAAGAGATTGAAGAAGATGAGGAGCAAGAAAATGATAAGGGGGAGGACAAGGAAGATGAGGATGAGGAGGCTAGCAGCCATGCTCCAGCATCACCACCCCCGATAAGCCCACAGCCTGGTCCAGACTTGTCATCAGATGATGATTCCAGTGGGGATGACAACTGCATCCCTGAACAACCGAACGATACAAATGAGATTATGCAGGCTGCACAACACATGCTTGACTACCTGAACGCAATGGAAGAAAGGCAGAAAAGGCAAAAGGACTGGGAGACTCTTCACCATCAATTGGAAAGCATCACACAAGAGGTTACCAGTGACCTTTCAGAAGAAGAGAAAACAGTAAAGGAGAACAAAATGTGGGAAGTTCTTATGAAACTGCAAAAGCTGCGTGAAGCATCAGATGAGGCTGCTGGTGATCCTACGCCCCCCCCCCTCACCCGAAGAGAATGAAACAGAAGAGCAAGCGCCAGAGGAAGAAGAGTCAGGAAGTGAGGATGATGAAAAATGTAAAAGAATGAAGTTAGAAGAGGACCAGTCACAAAGGGAGGATTCAGAAGTTGAAGGAAAAGGATCAAAGGATGGAAGCAAAGGTGAAGACTCAGAGGATGAGGATAAGGACGCAGACCAGCCCGGAGAAGAAAAGAAAGATGATACACCTCCTGCAAAATCAGCACAGGACTCTTCCTCACCGGAGTCAACTTCGGATTCAACTTCATCGTCATCATCCAGCTCCAGCTCAGAGGATGAGGTGGAGGAGGCTGCAAAAACAGCAAAAAGAAAGGCAGAAATGAATGCAGCAGGATGTAATTCTGAAAGTGAGGCGACAGTGAAAAAGCAAAGGACAAAGGGACATAATGATGAAAAGAAACCACAAGAGAAAAAAACTAAGGACCCACGTCTCCGATCTGATGCTGCAGTGGCGACAGTTCTTAAAAAAAAGGTCAAGTCAGAGGATTTTGAAGAAGCTCTGGAGAAGGAGTATTTCAAACAAGCTCTCGTTCCACCCCCGCTACATCGACAAAGGACGAAAGGGCCTCAAGTTACCAAAAGTACTTTGGCTTTATCGGTTATACAGATCAAACCTTTTTAGCGACCTCAGCACCTAAGGACGTAAGATGAAAACTACAATGTGGGCCCCCCTAGTTGTAATTTGTCTTGTAAACCCCATTAACTATATAAGTATCATAAACCATTGCTATTATAGTTATAAACCAAGTGAGCTATCTACACCATAGCTATAGGTTATAAGTATCATAAACCAGAGTTCTTTTGATATTATAGTACTATATAATATTCTAGTTTTGCAATATGGGTTGGGGTGCATCCACTTCAGCTCCATCCAAGGTCTACCATCCTCGAGCAGCGGGATGCCGCCTTCGGGAAGAAGCTCTGAGAAGAAGTTACCAGCCAAGAGGCCTGCATCAGCGTCAAAGGCTGGCAAGCCCAAGTGTGGCAAGGCCCGGTTTGGAAAAGAACGGTTCTGCTGGAAAGCAGCCCAAAAAAAGATAGATCAGTGTTTCACCTCTAATTTAAGTCTGATTTTAATGTTATGACTTTTGGGGGATTGCTGTAAAGATCAGTGAGGTTTAGATCACAGTGTTTGCGGATATGAATTGTGAACATATTTGAACATATGGGGAAAGCTCGTTATTCAGAGAATAGCAAAACCTTTTGGGTTTACTTCATGGAGTCAAGGGGGTTACCACATGATTAAACCATTTCCCTGTCTAAACTTCTGGGCTTCTGTTGAGGCAGAACTAGATTCGACAGTGGCAACCGTTGACTTTGAGGACTTGTCAGCCAATGCATTTGGGGTCACAATCAGCAGGGTGCAACAAGAAGCCCTCAAGGCTGCAAGTTGTAGGGTACCAACTCCCTCTGAGCAACTGGCCCTTGTTGCTGAAAGAAGGGAAAAGAAAACCACTTTGACACATGATTGGAATACCTAGGCTTTTTTTACCCTTCATATGTTTCATCTTGGGGGTTATTTGATAATTCCATTTACCAACACCCCATCCTGCTAGCCTATCTAAGGAAATATGAGCTCCTAAGATCCATCACCATGCAGGAGTGGACCGTAGAGGTGAGGAAACGTCTTCATGGGAAGGCCAAAGGTCAGCTCTACAAAGTCTTCAAAAGGAAGAAAGACCAGAAGCCTTTTTACACCATGTTGCTTGGAGCTGGTTAGGAAATCTACCCAGTTTCAAAAGGATTCATTAAATCCCAACATGGTCCTACTGGGTTAATTATATGTTTGTAGGTGATTATAGTATAATTTTGGCTCTACCGACTATTGGGGTGGAATGTATAACCATTGCTCCCATCAAATGTGAAACCCAATCCATTGTCTGTGCCTTTGTGCCAATGGCTGAGGAAAGAGGCCAAAGAATGCGGATTCGATGATCCTGATGGGAAAGTTCCAGCGGCAATTGCCGAAATTCGTGCCAATTTGGCAAAGAAGGGTAGCAAAGTCAAAGTTGAGGAAGGGTCTCCCAAAAAGGCGGCTGCCCCCAAGCGTAAGAGGAAATCTACGGGAAATAAATCCAAGAAAGCTCGTCGGGGGTAAGGGGTGATGTTGAAAGAAACCACCCAACAAATAGAAATCCCGGATCAGCCACCATGTGAGAAAACCACTGTCAACCACCTAACCTATCGAACAACCATTTTGTTTTGGCTCTTCGGGATCAGCTTTTGAACAATATGAAGATCTGGGAAAAATTCCAGCAACCATCTGATGTAAACAAAAATCATTCCAACAAGATCCAACCAGTTATGATTCAATTCTGTAAGTCCTAGTCCCAATCATATTCCAATGTCCAATGCATATGTTTAGTGGTTGATGCAGTTGGTTGCTCATCCCATCCTTGCACCAGCAGTGACACACTGCAGATGGATTGGCACCTCGTACCGGTAGCAAAAAAGATGCGTAGCTCTCACCTGCGTGCTGCATCTTTGGAGTTATAGGTCATTATTCGCAGAACTTTGTGGTGACTTGGAAGAATTCTTTCTCCCAAAGGGCTCATTTGGTCCAAAGTTGAGGGTAAAGCCCTGACCTGTAGATAGATCATGAACCCTCAGCTGCTGAAGCGCATTTTAGTTTTTTTGGCAACCATTCCTGTGCCAGAAAAACCGAACGATTTCGATTCTCAGCTGAATAGATGGTGTTTAGCAGTTTGTTGGTACCCCACATGGACTTTGCATCACAGACTATTGGCTTCTTTCAAGTGCAAAGGTTTGCATCACAGACTATTGGCTTCTTTCAAGTGCAAAGGTACAGCCCTTTAATCCTTAATAAACCTTATCTGACTCCTGAGGTGGAAATTTGTTCAGGAGATGCACAGTTCACTCGTGCTCTTTGGTCGCTCGGGTACGAAGGGAAAGCTTATGATGTATCTTGGTGGTATTTTTGAAACAAATCAATCGAAAACTTGTGGCACCATGCTGCAGTGTTCACACAACATCTCCTTGCCACTGACTATGTCTGCCAGCTAAGATTCGCTACAGCAAAAATCATGATTTGATGAGATCCATTGGATTTGTCACTATCCTCGCAGCTGTGGGGGCCATAGACTACAACATGTGGATCAAGTCTTCATGCCGAAAAGTGTTGTGTTGGATCTTTGCCTGATGTTTAAGGTTCGCAACACCAAACGTGGTGGGTTACTGATGTTTGCACCTCCATGCAACACATGGATTTTTTTGAGACTTGGATCAAATAATGAGATATATGAACTTTGTTTGTATACCATCAATTTCTAATGATCTAATGTTACATGCCCCCCTTATTATCCATTCTTCTGATCTCAGGAGTAGCCCCTCAACTGGAAGATCATGGCTGAATCCAGAAGGAAATCTACGACCATGCACTCGTTTGGCCAACATCTTTGTGATGCGAATGTTATACATGTGCCCTGGGTCTTTTTGCTTACAGCACTGTATGATAATCAAAGATGTTGCTTTTGAAACATTTACATTCTTTATCTGCATATGAATGTAATCACCGCAACTGAGTCTGTGGTATGCCTGGAGTCGTGGAGTGCACTTTTTGGTTGAACAACCAATTTCATCAGCCCTAGCCTTACTTTATGCAATCACGCTTACAGTCTTAGTGAGAGGTGATATTATGTCCCAAAGGTTTATTTGATCTTTGATATATTTGTTCCTCGAGGTAATGTTTGCATGGGCACCAGTCCAACGATTCTTGGTTGCCACTCGTGCCAGGACAGATTTGTCAAAAACTATCGTGTTGCTTGAGTTGTTCTGTAAATATCATATAATTCATAAAACACCTGCAGGAGAGTGGCATTCCCAATGGGAAGCTTTGGAGCTGCAACCATCAAATATACAGTGTCACTTTGGCATATAGATTGGTGCCACTATTTCCCTCAACATACCCCAACTGTTCACCCGTGGTCACCCCTTCCACTCTCATCCCAGGCTTTGGGGAACTTTGCCGAACTTATCCAGCCTTCGCAAACCAATCGATCTCAAGCAGTTGCGGGATGCCCTTGCCAGGACAGGATGGGTGTGATTGGGGCTAGGGGAAATCACCACCGACTTAACTATAAAAAATAAAATCCCTTTCAGTCTAAGACGATGATCAAAGGCTTGTTGAGCTCCACGAAAATGTCATTGGACCCCTTTCTCATCTGCCATGGCGGTCCACCAGTCAGCTTTTTTTGCTGTCAGCACGGGGTTCTCAAACCCCAGCCTTGTGGGTTGCATCGTTGGAACTCCTCCATCTTTCGCAAGTAGGATGGATTGATTCAAAACACCATGATGCTGAAGCGATCCCCATCCAACTTGGAGACATTGTGGGGATTGTTCCCGTCAAACACTTCCAGCATCCCGCTGGGGGATTCCTGGGTGTACTGATGTCACTGTTGACAGGACCATCCACAGCAGGTTGATTAATTGTTACAGCTACTAAGGTGCAATGAACATCTAATGGCCATATTTGTCACCCATATAATATCAAGAAATACGATACCCTTGATGTATCTCTTGCCCAGTGATTCCCCCTGATATCCCAGGACTGGAGTCACACTTGTCAAAAAAAGTATTGACAAACATGGCCGCAAACGTATTGCAACTTGGCTCTGATTAGGGCTTTGGGCTCTGCTGAACTTGATTTCTGGGGTACTTACTATGGATTTGTCATACTACCCTTTGTTTCACAAAATCTAAGGCTGGTGTGAGGAAGCAACTGCGAGAAAGTGCATCCTACCCACGTGGTTTTGGCTATGCCGTGGCAGAACTAATGGTTCCTAGGACACCACCTCAAAAAGAGGAGGTTACCAATTTCGATTATGAGGGAATTGGTGATGATTTCAATTGCCTCTCTGATATTTTGCATGGGGCCAGCAGGACTTGGTGGCGGAAAATCTAATAAACCACTCCTATGAGATTTATATCGGTTTAGTATGCCCTGGGACTTGGGGAACAATACATCACCCAAACAGGGTCTGGTGAATAAGTCAATTTCTAATGGTTCATATGACTAGGCTGCCACCAAATCCAAAAAGATTTATCGATGCCATGGTGGAAGAAAAGAATATTGTAAAGCTGCGTTTTGTGATTGAGACCAGTATCATGACTTGCGTTTATTCAAAGCATGTGACAGCTTTACTCCATGCAGCTTGGGCTCACTATTTTGACATTTGGTTTTCTTACAATGGACAACCAAGAAAGGCAGCGCCATCTTCAAGTCGTAGCACATGAGAGACTATGTCTTAGCTGCGCAATCCCTGGGTTGGAGAAGTTCATGACCGAGAGCCTTGATTGTTAAACTTAAGACTTATGAAAGGCGTTGGTACTACCCACCCTATGAAATTAGTTATGTACCTCTCATCTTTGGCATACCCATCTAAGGACTGAGTTCACACACATCCAGTGGATAAGCAAGGACTGCAAGTGTGATGATCTAGCTGCCAAATCCCTGGCAGAGGAAGAGGAAAGAGTACGAAATGGTACAAACCGTGGCAATTTGCCGGAGCCCAGATAGTTATACACCAGTTTAATTAGTATTTGGTTCCTGTGGGAGCATTACAGCTGGTGTGTGGGGTATTCAGGTTAGATTTTGGAATCCTGAAAAAGATATACTCTCATTCCCCACGGGACACCCCAAGTGCCAGCTGTTTCCCACGAGCCTGCTGTCAGAAGGCTACAGAGTGCCTTAACCTGCAAATCAGAGTTGGGATAAAACGGAGGTAGTTGGCGCGTGTCATTGCGTGTCAAATGCGTGTCATTGGGTACCCAGTAGTGGTTTCGATTTGGCACCCCTTACAAAAAGGGGTCACAAATTGGCACCCCTTCTTGTATATAGGGGCTACAAATCGGCACCCCTTCTTGTATAGGGTGCCAAATTGAGACCCCTTGCAAAACGTGTCATTTGCGTGTCGTTTTGGACCAAATACGAAGGGTTTTTTCAAAACTCACGACTTTGGAAAATCTGATATATTTTGGTTCATCGAGGGATTCACCTCGTGCATTCCATTTTGCGCTTGGCACTTGGGACTATGACACCTTCTGAGGCACGGTGTTTTTCAACAACTATCTTATGGTGGAATGGGGCATTCTTCACATACAAATGGGGTATTAATTTGCTTTTATTTGTTTTTGTGGAACAAAACCATCTGATGGTGCAATGGTGGATGTTCAACTACATTCGTGCCACACTATCCAGCTTCCCTGCTAGGCCAAAAGAATGAGAAAGCTCAAAGCTACACCAGCCCCATCAGGTCAAGTGCGACCGAAAAATAGTGATGGTCGTATGTTGAAAGAATGCCTGAACATCTTAGACAGAGATGAGGAGGAAAAGAAGATGATTGCAGCCAAACAGAACCAGGAGAACCTGAAGAAGCATAATCAAAAAGTGAAGGATGCAGCTTCGAAGAAGAAGGCCACAGAAAGTGGAGAAGGCAACAAAGAGAAGAAGAAGAAGGATGAGACGAGATCCAAGCCGAAGGATGGTGAAGGGAACACTTCATCAAAGAAGACGAAAGAGAAGGCTGCAGAAGGAGGAGAAGGCAACAAAGAGAAGAGGAAGGATGAGACAGGATCCAAGCCGAAGGATGGTGAAGGGAACACTTCATCAAAGAAGACGAAAGAGAAGGCTGCAGAAGGAGGAGAAGGCAACAAAGAGAAGAAGAAGGATGAGAAAGGATCCAAGCCGAAGGATGGTGAAGTGAACACTTCATCAAAGAAGAAAGATAAGGCTGCAGAAGGAGGAGCAGGCAACAAAGAGAAGAAGGATGAGACAGGATCCAAACCGAAGGATGATGAAGCCAGAGCTTCATCGAAGAAGAAGCCAGAGAAGGCCGAGAAGGCTGCAGAAGGAGGAGAAGGCAACCAAGAGAAGAAGAAGGATGAGAAAGGATCCAAGCCGAAGGATGGTGAAGGGAACCCTTCATCAAAGAAGAAGACAGGGAAGGCTGCAGAAGGAGGAGAAGGCACCAACGAGAAGAAGAAGAAGGATGAGACAGGATCCAAGCCGAAGGATGGTGAAGGGAACCCTTCATCAAAGAAGAAGACAGAGAAGGCTGCAGAAGGAGGAGAAGGCACCAAAGAGAAGAAGAAGGATGAGACAGGATCCAAGCCGAAGGATGGTGAAGGGAACCCTTCATCAAAGAAGAAGAAAGAGAAGGCTGCAGAAGGAGGAGAAGGCAACAAAGAGAAGAGGAAGGATGAGACAGGATCCAAGCCGAAGGATGGTGAAGTGAACACTTCATCAAAGAAGAAGACAGAGAAGGCTGCAGAAGGAGGAGAAGGCAACCAAGAGAAGAAGAAGGATGAGAAAGGATCCAAGCCGAAGGATGGTGAAGGGAACCCTTCATCAAAGAAGAAGAAGGCCGAGAAGGCTGCAGAAGGAGGAGAAGGCAACAAAGAGAAGAAGAAGGATGAAACAGGATCCAAGCCGAAGGATGGTGAAGGGAACCCTTCATCAAAGAAGAAGACAGAGAAGGCTGCAGAAGGAGGAGAAGGCACCAACGAGAAGGAGAAGAAGGATGAGACAGGATCCAAGCCGAAGGATGGTGAAGGGAACCCTTCGTCAAAGAAGAAGACAGAGAAGGCTGCAGAAGGAGGAGAAGGCACCAAAGAGAAGAAGAAGGATGAGACAGGATCCAAGCCGAAGGATGGTGAAGGGAACACGTCATCAAAGAAGACGAAAGAGAAGGCTGCAGAAGGAGGAGAAGGCAACAAAGAGAAGAGGAAGGATGAGACAGGATCCAAGCCGAAGGATGGTGAAGTGAACACTTCATCAAAGAAGAAGACAGGGAAGGCTGCAGAAGGAGGAGAAGGCAACCAAGAGAAGAAGAAGGATGAGAAAGGATCCAAGCCGAAGGATGGTGAAGTGAGCACGTCATTGAAGAAGAAGCCAGAGAAGGCTGCAGAAGGAGGAGAAGACACCAAAGAGCAGAAGAAGGATGAGACAGGATCCAAGCCGAAGGATGGTGAAGCGAACACTTCATCAAAGAAGAAGAAGACTGAGAAGGCTGCGGAAGGAGGAGATGGGAACAAAGACGAGAAAAAGGATGAGAAAAGATCAAAGCCGAAGGATGGTGAAGTGAACACTTCATCAAAGAAGAAAAAGAAGGCTGCAGAAGGAGGAGGAGGCAACAAAGAGAAGAAGGATGAGACGATATCCAAGCCGAAGGATGGTGAAGGGAACACTTCATCAAAGAAGCAGACAGATAAGGCTGCAGAAGGAGGAGAAAGCAACAAAGAGCAGAAGAAGGATGAGAAAGGATCCAAGAGGCAAGAGGATGATTTGGTGACACCACCTTCGAAGAAGGCCAAGAAGGGTGGGGCAAATGGAGAAGATGATAAGGAAACCAAGGGGAATGCGTCCCAGCCAAAGGAAAGCAAATGCACTGTTCTGGCCATACCTGATGAGTCTGGAAAAAGAAAGCCAGCCAACCAAGAGGGCCACTCTGATGACCAACAGGTGAAAAGAACAAGGACTCAGGCCTGTGGGGATTGGAAGTGTGGTCATGTTAATTCAAATTTACTCAGTGACCCTTAATCTCCTTATCAACCAAAGCCAACGAATGTTGGATAGAAAAAACACGTCATATAGTATGCCCAATCATATACCACAAAATTACTTTATATTTTCCACCAAAAAGTATTCTGTCATTAATAACCCAAATCAATTGCTTATAATTCATTAGATTTCCAACGCTGTAATCATATCACATCCCCCGACAGCCAGGAGAGATTATCAGAACGGACTTCCACTGTCGGCAGCTTTGACCTCTCTTCCCCATCCCCTTCGGTTCACCCGAAGTCCCTAGACTTCCTGACCGGTTTGTTGGAAGATGATGTGGTGCCTTGTCGGCATACTACCAGGGTCTTGTAGTGTTATCCAGACGCTATCCATTCTCAGTGATTGTGAAAGATTTATTTTTTGATTATGAGAATTATTATTTGTTTATCAGCCTTGAAATCCCTTGGTGCCACTCAATCTTTAGGATCCTTCACCACCATCAACGGAGAGGGTGTCACGGAAGAAAGAGCTCACCGAAGAAGAACGCAACAAGATCAGCGAAATGACGCATCCCAGTCAGATGCCTTACCCAGAAACTAGCCTAAATTTATAGTCAAAAGATATGAGTATTACTGCTTAAATCAGAAGCCCAATCATCAAGGTATTGATCCTGCATATTAAATATAATTTACCAATGCTATACCATCCATCCATCAGGAGCGGAAACGACAGTATGCGGCATTGCGTCGTGCCATCTACCGAGAAGCGCCACCCGGATTGGTGGCCAAATTTTCATTGTGTGGCGACAAGGAAAGGTGCCTTGTCTTAATGCAATTGTTACATTGATTTTCTTCCACTACATTTAGATACTGTATGGATTTGAGCTGAGAATCAAACCGGAACAAAAACACTTTAATTGCAGATCTTAGCTAAGATTTGGAATGCTACGTCAATGGCTATCATCTGGTGGTGATTTGATGTCCATTGACGTCGAAGAGAAGTATGAAAGCTGGGTGACCTCCCTGCGAACGGACAGATATGTCACTGCTTGGAGCTTAAACTAATTTTGATGGGTTAATAATCCAACATTTCAAAGGAAAACATGGGGTCCAGTTCGATCAACTTGAACATAAGGTCACTGAGTTTCAACTTGAAAAAATCTATGGCAAGTCCAAAGAGTCTCGCGAGTTCATCGCTACGCTCGTCTCTGGCCAAAAGGGGACCCCCCATCCCCAGGCCAGGCCTTCTGTTTGTGTAAATCTTTGTGACCCACAATGCCACTGCCAACGGTTGGCTGTCCTTGGCAGGCGCCAGGTGTGAAGAAAGCCAGGTTATACAAAGTTCTGCGGGAGGTTGTTCATGAAGACACCACGGGACAAGGATCCAGAACTTCTGTTCCTGTTATGTAATTAAAGTTCAAGATCAGTTTGATTGCAGGTACCAGTGCAAGTACTGAAGATAACAAATCCATGACAAATCTCAACCAGTTGAATCTAAGGCTTCTCTCTCGGGAAGGGTGCGTGATTCAGGGGCAAAGGAGATCCTGAAGAAACAGCTTCAAGGTCTTACAGATGGCCTACCTGAACAAATGGATCTTGCTACTGGCCGCTTGACTAGCAAGAAGCCTAAAAAGGAGAAATCTCCTGAGGAGGAGGTCATGGCCAATGTCAAGAAGCTTACCAAAAGGCTCCTTGGCTCTACTCGTTATGTCTCAAAGTGGAAGTGCCCCAAGCTTTACATTTTTTCACTGAAAACAAAAGGCTTGGGGCACTTCAATTTTGAGACATCTGCAAATAGGAAGCAAGAACCATATTATTTAGGGATGTCTCTATATGTTAAAAAAATTGGGTTCTCTAAAATAGTCCTCATACTCTACAATGAGAAATGTCTACTGAGAATCCATGGTCCATTTAGGTGCCTAAATGCCAGTGCTTTTTGGGATATATACCTCCAATATATTATACCTTCCCATCCGTTGATTCCATCCCACCACTTCCCATCCCTCGATTCCATCCCAGGTGGAAGCAACTCATCAACGAGCTTGATGGTGCTAAGAGGGGGTTGGTTGACTACAATGTCCGCAACTGCGAGGAACTGGCAACTTACTTTGCATTTTAGATTCCGCTCATGGTCATGGGAATATGGCAGTGCTCACTGTATGGTTTATTTTCTTGATGTTGATCAAATCAGACCTTACTGGTGCTGATTTGAACTAAGAAACAGTGTCTTGAAGATCACGTTGAATTGGCTTGCGATGGTTTCGGTGAAGCCGAAGGAAAAGCCGGCACCCCTTTGACTAGTGTGGTAGCGAAGGATATGGTTGATTGGCTTGATGCTTCCAAGTCTAAGCTCAAGCCACTTGAAGATGATGTAAAGGATGCCAAGAGGAGAATCTCTGCGGCCAAGGGGCCAAAGAAGCGAAAGGCTGTCCCAGTGCAGAATGCCTCCGAAGCCGAAACATCCGATGGAGGGGGCTCAGCATAGGTCATCTCTTGGATTTGTGTTTCCAAAGCAACGAGTTATCAAAAAGGGTGTTTTCCAGCCACTGCTTGCGAACTGCAAAAGAAAGGCTGAGCTTACCGAAGGACGGTTTTTTTTAAACCCTGAGTGGACACCACAGGAAATTGTTTGAAATGCTTTTCGAGGCTGTGGGATTTATCCACTCAAAGTGAAATCTTTAGCAGGCGTCCCTCGCATGTTGAAAGCGCATATTCTTAAATAATGGTTTGTTTACTCTGATGATGCATTTTGGGGATGACATGTGAGCACAAACGCCTCTTCGCTCGATCTGTGTGCTCTTGCCGAAACCGATGGCACCTGGCAGAACCAGGTGAGCAGCTTCGTTAGCCCTTTGGGGATAGGGTCCGATGGTGAAAAAAAAGATACAACAAGAACCTGGTTTTGATTTGGTGAACCTCAGCATGGGTTGCATAGTGCAATAATGATGACACCTGTTGTGTATGCAGTTCCATTGGCTTTGATGGTGGTTGTTTATGATCATGAATCCAACAATTTGGTGAAACAGCGTACAACAAATCACTACAGTTATAAGCATTGGAGACAAACCCTGAGAGATCATTAGGACATTAAATCCCCAACAATCACAGGAAGATCAGCCCCCCTAATATCTTAGATAAATTACAGTAAACCCAAGAAATCATCGGTAAGATCAAGCCTGAGAACATTGGGTGACAACCAAACCCTACATACTGGGAAGCAAAACCCCAACACTCATCGAAAAAAACCATATGCCAAAGGGGTCATTGTTTCAAATCGTTCACTTGTACACCTTTGGTGGATTGGTGGATGGATGCCATGAGCATTCATGGATATCGTGGAGGAGTTCCTGGAGATTACAAAAGCTGTTCCTTGATAGCATTACCAAAGTTTCTAGGAAATTTAATCGATTCAAAGGATAGTAGTGTGAATGGCTAAGGTTAATGTTGCAAACCTTATCAAGCTATTGGCGGTTCTCCGGGCTAGGATACCTGGTCGTCATTTGCCGCAGCTTGGCAACACAAGAGTTATTGACATCTCTCTCAATCTCTCCATTTCTCTCCTTTGATTGCATTTTCTCAACCCCTTGCACAAAATTGATGTTTCAACATGTTTTAACTAAGGAAGAATCTCCATGATTTGGTTGGCGTTGAGAATGCCAACCCAGCCAACTATAGTAGAATGTTTTGGTCTTGGCTGCATAGGCAGAAATGGCGAAAGATGCTGCCGAAACCTTTTGAGTACCTAGACTTAGACCTGTAAAGAAAGACAGCGACGTGCTGCTCATATTCAATACATATTTCATATTCAGTGCGGCTTGGTCAACTCAGGATCGATCTGCTGATGGTGGACCAAATGCGAGAACAACCAGAGTATGTGGGTCAATGGCATATTTTTCTCCCAAGCGATGTGTTGCTTGTCTTACATAGTTGGCACATAGCCTGGGGAAACCCAAAGCATGATTAAGCAACTGCCAGAGGCTCCATTCAATCTACCACTACGATGAGGATCTTTTTGTGAAGAAGTTTGTTGGGGCACCTGGTGTTTCCTGGCTGCATTTCTAGTGGCTGCTGTGTGGAATATGACTCATGATACCTTCAGTACTCGTATATGTTACAATCCAGGATCTGGAAAGATTTTGGCTTGCTCAACAAGACAGTGCCTGGTTCCAAGAACATCCTATTCTCAGCCGACCAGAAACAAGGCTGCATTGGTCTGTGCCAGTTTGGTTATGTAATGTTAGGATTATCGATGATCTTCATTTGAGTTTGGGATTGCTTAACTCGCCTATGTTGTTGTGACATGTTGTGACTCCACTAGGATTGCCAGCTACGACGCTGTATACCACTTTTGGTACATGGTGATGATGCTGACAGCCACAGAAGAAGAACCTTCTATAACTGCACTATCTCGTCACCTGTAAGTCTGGAAACTAACGCCTGGGACAGCAGGGTCTTATTAGTTACCTTCGACAATCACAGAGCACTGCCTCAAACCTTTGACACTATAGATGCTTGGCTGGTCCATGGCTTGACCGAATTGCAAGAAGGTAGATTTATGACAGTTGATCCCTGGAACCAACCTCACGACAGAGGGCATGTGGGAAGGGTGATTGGACCTTACATCGGGGTTTTGGTTGGCCTGAAGGGTGATGAGAAGTTCATACAGAGGACACTGAAACTGATTGCCAGCCCCATCAGTGATGAAGTGTGCATGTACTGCAAAGCAAGCCAAAGTGGCACGAACATTTACACTCTTCATGGGGCTGGGGCCCCACATCGCTCCACACTGGTGAGCAATGAGCAATTTTTTACAACTGGCTGTCATTCGAATTCCTGGTTGCGACTACCTGGATTCCACATAAGTCGAGTGTTTCTGGACTGGTTACACCTGGTTGACCTGGCCCTGATACCTGAATGCAGTGCGTCAGTACCTTGACATTCTCCTCAAAGTTGTTTGTATGGCGGGGTGCTTCTCTCTGGGGTTAAGGTTTCTTCTTGTCATGACTTAAACCTTTGATCTAAGGCATTGATCGAACTGACATCTACCAACCAGATTTGGAAGGGGGATAGCCGAGATGAACGCCTTCGACTTGCTTTCGTGCAGTTCACAGCGCAGTGCAAGCAGCATCGGGTGAGTGCCAAGGTTGCACATTTATCATGCTATAAGCCAAGTCTTGAGATGTACTTTGTTAGATTGGCCTTGCATCTTAACAAAAGTGTGGATCTAGGAAACAGGGGGCAATGCTTCGCTGTGCATCTTGGCTGCGTCAACTACAAAATATCACCAGCCAATCGCTTTCAAAACATTGTCCAACAGTGTGGACCACCCAAGTTTGGTTAACTTCAATTTGGCAGTTGGTCCAAGGAAACAACTATACCCACAGGGAAAGGGCAATTTTCCGACATTGGTTCAAAAGCACTTCAATGGGGCGGAGCCTTGGTTTACTTTCTGAATGAATGTGGCAACTTTACAACTGCTGATGCTATCGATATCCAGCAGCGTGATACCGAGGAAGCAGGAGTACTGGCAATTTGGCTGAAAGGTGTTTGTCTTGCTGTTGCTTCGCAGAACCCTGGAGATATTCATGCTGCGCTTCTTGGCAATTCATTTCATAAGGGGGGCATCATCAATGAAAACAGGGTGAGCTTGCGATATGTTGTGATGGAGGTTGGGTATCCGCAGAGCCTAGGCTCAGAGCAGCTGTTTTTGTCAACTTGGTGGCGATGCGAAAATGTATGGCCACTAGGAACAACGAGGTGAAGCAACTGATGACTACTGAGAACCTGAAAATCCTGGAGCGGGCTAATTTTTTGTACCACTGTGCCCACAACAGTATCTTAGCTGATTGAGTTGACGGGTTTCGCTGAGTACTATTGGTGTTGTTTCTGTTGTGCTTGTCATATTTGGTATAATCTCTATACTGACTCGCTGCTATTGAAAAATGTTGAATGTCCAAGGTCTGGCTGCAGAAGCAATTGAATCCCAGAAACTCCTTTGGAAATTGCGACCAAAGCTGCACAAGTTTCTTGTTTGGAGAATTAAGTATTTGATGCTCATTTTAGCGACTGTGGTAGCGACCATCAAAAGCTATTTTTTTCTTTGACTTGAGGCTTGACCACTTGGTCCTAGACCAGGCCAAGTACATCAATCCTATTCAAGCATCGAACTAGAGCGACGAAGACATGATGGGGAAAGTAAAAAAATTAGCAATGAACAGCACGCCTCTGAAACTAGGATATCAGGTCCTTGAACGCTATGCGGCCTATGTTTGTTGCCGATGGATGAAGGGATAACAAACCATCCTGCATCCCAGCCACTTGGCACCTCTGTGTGGAAAAGAAAGAAGGCCGCGGCAGCCAGAGGCAGTGTGGCCAGCGCAGAGGGACCAGGGGGAGAAACCTGTTAGTGACGGGTAATTGACATAGTTATGGGCTCAAACATCATTACATAAAAATGATTATCTGTACGGGTTGCAAATTGGAACCCCTTTTGGACCCTTGGATTCAGAAATCCATTTGGCACCCCTTTGATGGTGCTGGTACTTATGTTTACACATGCGCATATTTTTAGGTACTTTAAATATCTTTAAACGCACATATTTTTTCCCTAAAGACACCCTGCAACCAACCTTAAACAAACTTCAACTGGATCCTAAACCAACTTTGAAGAAGACCTTGAGCCAACTCTAGAAACACCCAAGCCAGACGCGTCGCCTATTTTCTTCGCATATCGCCTAGTTTTCATCAAGTTCCTATGTGTTTCTTGTGAACGCCTGGTTTTCGAAGAACGGACCAAACAAAATAGTACCGACACAAACGACCAAAATATTTTGGTAGTATGAATTTCAAGGTATATTATATACATGTATGGATATGTTTATTTACAGCTATTTACATGCACGCACCGATCCCTAAATAAACCTAATCCAACCCTAATGCAACCGTAGACAAATTTTAAACAGACCGTATACCGATCCCCCAAAAACACCTTAAACCAACCCCAAAATAGACCCTAAAACAACCATCAATGAATCTTAAACCAACCCAAAATGGATTCATATTTTGGATAGCTGCTCCAGGTGGCAATCTAGACCCAACATCAAAGTCTATTTCTGTCTGGAATATTTTTTTTTTGATGCCTTCGAGTGGCGAGCTAGAGCATTTTGATCCCCCCGTTGCCTGATCAAAAAAATATTTTGGATCAAAAAAGGTATATCCAACTCACATTTGAAATATATTTTTGTAGGATATTTTGTTTGATACCAGTGTTTTTTTTTGATCCGGAATAATTTTTGTTTGATCCCTCACTTGTATCTGAAGTTGTTTTTTACTGACTTGAACTGTTTGTTTCAGGCGATGTGTTTTTGTTCATTTTTTTGCGTGAGATCCTGGGAGCAATTTTTGCTAGTGCCATTGTTGTTGCAGTCCTCGTGGTTGAAGCTGATGCCAGCTTGTTTGTACAGTAGTAGTGCTGCAGCTGTGACAGCTGAGTCAGTAGCAGACACATGTGTGCAGCAAGTCCAAAATGCTTGGCCGGACATGTATTGACAATATAAAGGACATTAAAAGACAATCCTAAAAGGCACTAGTGCAACAACTCTTCCTCCCATTGAATATGAAGCAATCCTCAAATTGGATTGGAATATTATTTTGGATAATTTGTGCACGGTGGTCTCAGTCTCAACCTGCTACAACTTGCCACAACGCCTCCAGGATGCGGATGCGTGGTGGCAACAAGAAACGCAATTCTGCTCCATCCACATCACAAAACCTAGGCACTTCGTACGCAGAAAGACCACCAGGCGGTAAAGATGGGTAAAACCCTGAAAGGAAGTGAGGGTGACTAAGGGTGGACTGGGTAAGTGAATGATACTAGTAGTACAAACAATGAACTCTCACCATCTCTCACCCGTCACCCTTTAGTTGGGATATGGATCCATACTGTGGCGTGGCCTTTCTTACATCAAGTGGTTTGTATTCTTGGCGAAGGCCATCGTTGTTCAGATATTCGCAACCTGCAGCGCTCGTCCATAGCAGCAATGCATAGCACTGCCCTGCAAAAAGTGTGCATCAATTTTGTCGCTGGTTTTCCCGCTCATATTGTAGTGTAGCTGAAAGGACGGTCCTCCTTTTACAGGTCGGTATTTTTAAAACATACATGTGAAGTGCATTACGTGCGGTAGGCCATATATTTTATAGAACGTTATGCAGCAGTCAGCAGTTATACCTGCAAAATCCACTTGTGCAAAATTTCTGTCGGTTTCTGAAACGCAATTATTTTACACTGTTTCTACGAAAAACTGCCGTTTCAGGGAAAAAAAACCGCTTGCGCTACCTCCAACGAGAATGCGCACATACAGAGAAACATGTCAGGATCTTCTTTTAATACCATGGAGGACTCAAGCTTTGACTGACGCCCATTTCCAGGGGAAACCCAAGTGTTGCATCCCAAGTAATCTAAGTAGATTTGTTTTCCAGCCTTGGAGGAATCTCATTGATGAAAGCTAACCACTCGCAGTGGAAACAAATCAGATCATCCAAGAGCACCAATCCAGTTCCAAGTCGAACACCATGGGCCTAGATGCAACTCTGAAAGTATCAAACATGTTTTGTTCACTCAGTTTCCTACGCTATTTTACGCCGTTTCAACGGGTTTTTACACCCTTTCAACGGTTTTTTTACACCGTTTTTGTTCCGGTCGTTTTTTTTTGAAAAAACGCATCCAAGAGCTCTTGACGATCTCCACCATTGTTGGAGAAGAAACATGTCCACCCAGAGCTTCATCAAGGGCTGTGTTTGTGACTAAAAGATTCCCACATCATGGGATCTATACTATATATATATATAAATTATATATATATATATACAATCCACAAATGCATCCTTTCCCTTCGGACACTCCTGGTTGCCACAAAATCACTTTGGCCTTTTTCCGTGACGCTCTTCATACAAATTCAGCTAATAATACTCTTCCTAGCCACAAAGAAAGTTCCACCAATACCAAAAAATGCTCGAAAACAAACATTATTGTAGTTTGCACCCAAAATCAGAAATTCCTGAAACAGCAGATGTTTTTCACGCAATTGAGTTCTCAGGTATAATTACACTGGATTTGGTTTGTTTCCATGATTTTCCTTGATTTTTGTATATTGTTTTTTCATTTATATACTGAAATACCATGACTGGGCATACAGATGTGGAACTCGAGTCTTGTTTGGGCCCAGGTGATGGAGGTACAGGTAGCTCACGTTTTCACAGCAGCGCTGGCCTGGGCTTCGGGAGCAGCAGTAGCGGCCATAGCACGAGAGTCACTAGAGTTGCTGGGGTGAATTCTGCCAGTGCCAGTGCCTTCGGAGCGAACCACGGTGGAGAAGCAGCACATCACTTCAAAAAGACGGTCAGGCGCAGTAGATATTTTGGTCAATTTTGATAACATGCCTCCTAGATGATACCATTGTCATCCACTGTTTCTTATGCATTTGGATGCTCTTTTTGCAATCTTATAGATGGTCTTGAATGAAGAGCGCCAGGGCTCTCGGTGGCCCGATTCACATCAGACCCTCCAACATCCTTCAAAGAAATGCATTGTATATATATGTATATATATATATACAGACATATATAATTACATAGCTGGCATTAGCTGGCAATTAATTGGCCTGGTTCCTTTCCGGCACGCTTCACTTGAACACCTCACCCGTCTACTACTGTATTTCTCAAGAAAACCCACCCATCACTCTCAAGAGAGAGAAGGCCAAGGCCCTCTTGCCCTTGTTGTCATTTGTTGTCCATACCGGCAGGAACATGTTTGCGATGAATGCCATGGGCGGAAGTGGGCCACACTTTCACACTGAAAGGCGTGCAGCGACCTGGCACAGTGCTATGCATCAAGTTGCTTAGGCACTCGAGTGTTCCTAAAAAAGCCTACGTAATGCTACCTGCATGAGACTACCTGGACTCTTACCTCGTGTATCTCATTTAAATTGTGTTGTTCAACTTGGCGAGGTCCCTAACTATCAAACTTCATCAAACTTCTACCTTAGGTTGTCAACTCAGTTTGGTACTTAGCCGAGTCTATCGTATAGATTCAGCCGTCGGACAGTTTGTATGTTTTGCACTTATATTGTCCCTCAACCATTGTCCAGTTGCACAATATTTTGTTCATATTGCTCATGTTGTTTCAGTTTGATTCTCTCCGGCTATGTCTTGCCAAGGAAGAGCGAAAACATCATCAACCAGGAGGTCACGGTTCTGAAGATGCAGAGGGCTGGGAGGAAGAGGGCCTGCACAGTACCAACTTGGGTCAAACTAGTCAAGCTCTTTCTCCACAGAAGGAGGCTGCGGAGGCCGAGGCCATGGACGCTACGAACGTCAGTCAAACGCAAGATCTTGGGGACGGGCCTCACGTTCCCGCTGGAAGCACGCAGGTTACTTTCCAAAGTAGCTTGGACTGGAAACATGCTGCAGCTGTTGGTACCCCCTCTCCCTGTATGATCGGGATATCCCGTTGTAGGAATGTGATTTGCATGTGTTTGCAGGGTTGTTTTCGTGACATGTTTGTCTAATTGTTTGCATATGTTTCGCAATAGTCCGCGTCAATTTGAGTGTAGCGACCTGATTTTTAAAGCGCGTCAACGAAACAAAAACAAACTGCGATGTTGGAACATTCCAGACTGTGCTCAGCATCCACAGACATGTGATGTTGTTTTTCCGATCACGTTGCTTTTTAAATTGCGCTGGCCGTTTCTCATGATTCCATTGTTTTTGGCATGCCAACGCACGCTGTTTAGAAACATTGGTGCTGCTGTAGATACTAGAGCATAGTATACTCGTTAGATCTATAATGATTTAAATGATTATAAATATCTCATCCACAAGTTTTCACACAAGTAATAGATAGAGAATGATAGATCTATTTTGGATATTGCTTCATGGATCGCAGGCCGCTTTCCGTGTGCCTTCGAATTTGTCGCAATTATTTGTCAGTGCAATGGTGACCAGTGGTTTGAACACTGCGGCTGCGCCGGCTGCGCTGGAAGGTTTGTCCACCTCCTCGCGCGGTAGCAGCGGATCGGGCCAAAGACCAAATACTGTTGCTGTTGCCACTTGGATCCCCTTTGTGCTGGTGTCCAGAGCAGAGAACTGCACAAAAAATGACTGTTTCATAGTAATCAATTCACAATGTGCATGACCAGATTGAACAGGTCATGGTCATGTCTTCTTTCAGTAGGTCCAGCAGATTCTGGATGTCATGTTCTGGATTGTTCTGGGAGGTTCTTTTTAATGCTGGGGGGAACCCAGAATCACCTTGCCTGTCGCGAATGCCAGCAGACAGTGGAACAGTGGAAACAGGTGTTGATTGTCAGTCAGAAATTTGTCGGTTTGGGCTGCGAGAGATCTCATTGGGGACTATTTATTGCCAGTAGTGGTAGTAATTGCAGTATATAATAGGTCTGGAAACAGCAAGTGAATGGAAGATATGTGCCGCTCTGAGGAGCAGAGCAGCGAAGGCGTGTCCAGCAGAAGTCCATCAAGCAGAAAATCTTTCGCTCAAAGCTATGGTTGCTTGGCCAAGAGAATGTCTTTTGTTTTTTTCAATTTCTCACATCTAGCCTGAGAGCAGCTTAGTCTTAATTTGGCATATTCTCCCAATGCAGAGTTGGACCAGCTGATGAAACTAATTGATTAATTAATTGGAGAATATCTCCTCCAGAGGCGGCTCAATCATATTTGGTAACATTGGCGACTGCATTGGAATATTATTGGAATGCACTGGAACATATTGGAACAATCGGGTTCCACAGGCCGGCTGCGAACCCGTTCTTAGGAGTTGTCGCCTTGCACTGAGAGAGTATAATAATTAGTATGCAGTGGATATGCAGTGGTCCTGGAACATTAGCAGCTCTCATGGCATTTCCCAGACCACAAGCTGAGCAATCCACTGTTTCAATATATGTATGTTTAATAGTGATATGTTTTATATTGTCAAAGGAAGTTGGGAAGCAATACTTCCGTGTTACGGACAAATAGAATTCTGCGACTTGAAATGATGCAGGGTGGTAGATCACATAACAATACATCACATAACAATACATAACATAACAATACATAACAAAAGAATAAGAAGCAGTGGAATTGACTTTGATGAAGGGTGGTGATAATGACGGGTGGTGACGAAGGGAAGTGGTGACGAAGGGAAGTGGTGACGATGGGAAGTGGTGACGAAGGGAAGTGGTGACGAAGGGAAGTGGTGACGATGGGAAGTGGTGACGAAGGGAAGTGGTGACAATGGGAAGTGGTGACGAAGGGAAGTGGTGAAGAAGGGAAGTGATGATGAAGGGGAGTGGTGAGGAAGGGAAGTGGTGAGGAAGGGAAGCGGTGACGATGGGAAGTGGTGAGGAAGGGAAGTGGTGAGGAAGGGAAGTGGTGACGAAGGGAAGTGGTGACGATGGGAAGTGGTGACGAAGGGAAGTGGTGAAGAAGGGAAGTGATGATGAAGGGGAGTGGTGAGGAAGGGAAGTGGTGAGGAAGGGAAGCGGTGACGATGGGAAGTGGTGAGGAAGGGAAGTGGTGAGGAAGGGAAGCGGTGATGAAGGGGAGTGGCGACGAAGGGAAGTGGTGGCTGGAGCACGAAACCTTGTGTTTTTCCGTGTAAAGTGGCTGCAGCCGGCGATGAAAGGTACCTCGTCTGTGCGGCGGTTGCGGCTGGGGTCGTTCCGGACGCGATTGGTTCCTTCTATGTGTTTTGCAACAAGTGCTTGTTCTTGTGTGCGTAGTTCTATGCGTTTCCTGAAGCTGTGGTTGCTGATCGCATTGGAATGGCTGCATGAATGTTGCATGGGCTATGTTTTGGGGAGGAAGCCGGAGCACGAAACCTTGTGTTTTTCCGTGTAAAGTGGCTGCAGCCGGCGATGAAAGGTACCTCGTCTGTGCGGCGGGTGCGGCTGCGGTCGTTTTGGTTCCTTCTATGTGTTTTGCAACAAGTGTTGTTCTTGTGTGCGTAGTTCTATGCGTTTCCTGAAGCTGTGGTTGCTGATCGCATTGGAATGGCTGCATGAATGTTGCATGGGCTATGTTTTGGGGAGGAAGCCGGAGCACGAAACCTTGTGTTTTTCCGTGTAAAGTGGCTGCAGCCGGCGATGAAAGGTACCTCGTCTGTGCGGCGGTTGCGGCTGGGGTCGTTCCGGACGCGATTGGTTCCTTCTATGTGTTTTGCAACAAGTGCTTGTTCCTGTGTGCGTAGTTCTATGCGTTTCCTGAAGCTGTGGTGCTGATCGCATTGGAATGGCTGCATGAATGTTGCATGGGCTATGTTTTGGGGAGGAAGCCGGAGCACGAAACCTTGTGTTTTTCCGTGTAAAGTGGCTGCAGCCGGCGATGAAAGGTACCTCGTCTGTGCGGCGGTTGGGCGCTATGTGTGAGTGTAGTTCTATCGTTTCCTGAATTGCTGGCATTGGAATGCATGGGCTAAAGTGGCTGCAGCCGGCGATGAAAGGTACCTCGTCTGTGCGGCGGTTGCGGCGGTCGTTCCGGACGCGATTGGTTCCTTCTATGTGTTTTGCAACAAGTGTTGTTCCTGTGTGCGTAGTTCTATGCGTTTCCTGAAGCTGTGGTTGCAGATCGCATTGGAATGGCTGCATGAATGTTGCATGGGCTATGTTTTGGGGAGGAAGCCGGAGCACGAAACCTTGTGTTTTTCCGTGTAAAGTGGCTGCAGCCGGCGATGAAAGGTACCTCGTCTGTGCGGCGGTTGCGGCTGGGGTCGTTCCGGACGCGATTGGTTCCTTCTATGTGTTTTGCAACAAGTGTTGTTCTTGTGTGCGTAGTTCTATGCGTTTCCTGAAGCTGTGGTTGCAGATCGCATTGGAATGGCTGCATGAATGTTGCATGGGCTATGTTTTGAGGAGGAAGCCGGAGCACGAAACCTTGTGTTTTTCCGTGTAAAGTGGCTGCAGCCGGCGATGAAAGGTACCTCGTCTGTGCGGCGGTTGCGGCTGGGGTCGTTCCGGACGCGATTGGTTCCTTCTATGTGTTTTGCAACAAGTGGTTGTGCCTGTGGTGTAGTTCTATGCGTTTCCTGAAGCTGTGGTTGCAGATCGCATTGTAATGGCTGCATGAATGTCGCATGGGCTATGTTTTGGGGAGGAAGCCGGAGCGCGAAACCTTGTGTTTTTCCGTGTAAAGTGGCTGCAGCCGGCGATGAAAGGTACCTCGTCTGTGCGGCGGTTGCGGCTGGGGTCGTTCCGGACGCGATTGGTTCCTTCTATGTGTTTTGCAACAAGTGGTTGTTCCTGTGTGCGTAGTTCTATGCATTTCTTGCAGATGTGGTGGCAGATCGCATTGGAATGGCTGCATGATTGTTGTCATTTGGTGTTGCCACGTCCGTAGATAGGTGCAGGTTTGCTACGGGATGCTGCGAAACACATTGTAGTGGCTGCGTCAAGGTTGCTTGATGCCGCGGCTGCATGCGTAATACTATTGTCTTTTGCAGCTGAAGATCGTAAATCGTATTGGAATGGCTGCATCAAGGCTGCGAAAGTGATTTGTCAGCAGATTTTGTCCATTTTGACGCTTTTTTTTCCTTTTAAAATTCTTTTTAAAAAGTGCTTCAAAATCGTCTTTTTGTCGCTTTGGCGTGGAGATCCGGTTTTGGAGCTGCAATTTCCGACGCCATTGCATGTAGTTCTATTGTGTTTTGCAACTCAGTCTCTGCAGATCGCATTGTAGTGGCTGCGTCAAGGTTGCTTGGTGCAGCGGCTGCATGCGTAATACTATTGTCTTTTGCAGCTGAAGATCGTAAATCGTATTGGAATGGCTGCATCAAGGCTGCGAAAGTGATTTGTCAGCAGATTTTCTCAATTTTGGCGCTAATAATTTTCCTTTTAAAATTCCTTTTAAAAAGTGCTTCAAAATCGTCTTTTTGTCGCTTTGGCGTCGAGATCCGGTTTTGGAGCTGCAATTTCCGACGCCATTGCACGTAGTTCTATTGTGTTTTGCAACTCAGTCTCTGCAGATCGCATTGTAGTGGCTGCGTCAAGGTTGCTTGGTGCAGCGGCTGCATGCGTAATACTATTGTCTTTTGCAGCTGAAGATCGTAAATCGTATTGGAATGGCTGCATCAAGGCTGCGAAAGTGATTTGTCAGCAGATTTTCTCAATTTTGGCGCTAATAATTTTCCTTTTAAAATTCCTTTTAAAAAGTGCTTCAAAATCGTCTTTTTGTCGCTTTGGCGTCGAGATCCAGTTTTGGAGCTGCAATTCCTGTTGTGATTATGTACAAGAAAGCTTCTCTGTGCAAAAACTTTTTCTGTAAAAGCTTGCTGTGTGTAAAAGCTTCTCTGTGTGTAAAAGCGTCTCTGTGTAAAAGTTTCTGTGTGTGTAAACGCTTGCCATGTGTAAAAGCACTGTGCGTAAGTGTTCTGTGTGTAAACGCTTGCTGTGTGTGAAAGCTTGCTGTGTGTAAAAGCTTCTCTGTGTAAAAGCTTGTTGTGTGTAAAAGCTTCTCTGTTTAAAAAGCTTGCTGTGTGTGTAAACGCTTGCCATGTGTAAAAGCACTGTGTGTAAGTCTTCTGTGTGTAAACGCTTGCTGTGTGTGAAAGCTTGCTGTGTGTAAAAGCTTCTCTGTGAAGAAGCTTGCTGTGTGTGAAAGCTTGCTGTGTAAAGCTTCTCTGTGTAAAAGCTTGTTGTGTGTAAAAGCTTCTCTGTTTAAAAAGCTTCTGTGTAAACGCTTGCCATGTGTAAAAGCACTGTGTGTAAGTGTTCTGTGTGTAAACGCTTGCTGTGTTTGAAAGCTTGCTGTGTGAAAAAGATTTTGCGTGTAAAAGCTTGCTGTGTGTAAAAGCCTCTCTGTGTGTAAAAGCGTCTCTGTGCAAAAGTTTTTGTGTGTAAACGCTTGCCATGTGTAAAAGCACTGTGTGTAAGTGTTCTGTGTGTAAACGCTTGCTGTGTGTGAAAGCTTCTCTGTGAAGAAGCTTGTTGTGTGTAAAAGCTTCTGTGTGTAAAAGCTTCTCTGCTTGAAAAGCTTGCTGCTGTGTGTAAAAGCTTCTCTGCGAAAGAACTTGATGTGTGTAGAAGCTTTGTAGTACAAAGTAGTACTGGAACGTGTTTTGTGCAAGCTTTGTAGTACAAAGTAGTACTGGGAAGTAGTTTGTGCAAGCTTTGTAGTACAAAGTAGTACTGGGGAGTGCTTTGTGCAAGCTTTGTAGTACAAAGTAGTACTGGGAAGTGTTTTGTGCAAGCTTTGTAGTAGAAAGTAGTACTGGGAAGTGGCTTTTGCAAGCTGCAAGCTTTTGTAGTAGACATCAGTACTGGGAAGTACTTGACATAAAAATAGCCAAGAAGAACTTAGCTGACATATGGGAAGACATGGAATGAGATGAGAAGAGCTCAGATGAGATGAGTTGAGATGAAGTGCAAGTGTGAAGTGTGGAGTGTGGGGTGTGAAGAGTGCAATGTGAAGTGTGAGGAAAATGTTTGCATTGTACCGGGGTCGCGCGCAGGTCATGTTTTTGGACAGCAACACAGCAACAGCTTCGCACAAAGCACGCACGCACGGGCCTGGCTGGCGCATGCAAGTTCCTTAGTAGTAGTACTGGGAAGTGATTCATGAAAGCTTAGGTGACATATGAGAAGAGATGAGATGAGAAGAGATGAGCTGGGATAAGGTGAGAAGAGCTCAGATGAGATGAAGTGTGGAGTGTGAAGTGTGAAGTGTGAAGTGTGGACTGTGAAGTGTGAAGTGTGAAGTGTGGAGTGTGAAGTGTGAAGTGTGGAGTGTGAAGTGTGAAGTGTGGACTGTCAAGTGCGCAGTGTGAAGTGTGAAGTGTGGAGTGCGAAGAGTGCAGTGTGAAGAGTGTGGAGTGTGAAGTGCGAAGAGTGCAGTGTGAAGAGTGCAGTGTGAAGAGTGTAGTGTGGAGTGTGAAGACTGTCAAGCGTGAAGTGTGAAGAAGAACTTCAAATGTGACATGTAAAACAAGACACCAGTTTCGCAGAGTGCACGCACGCACGGGCTTGGCTGGCGCACGGCGCATGCAAGTTCTATAGATGAGAAAGGTCTTTTATATATCTTTAAGGCAACTTCCGCCCCGCCTCGTGCGGGTACTACTGGTATAATTATGATTACATGTTATATATATATATATAGATATATAAGCATTATATGATATGAATATATGATTGCATATGTACATGCAGACAATCTATTACAGTACTATACTGCATGAATTGCAAATAGTGTAACAGGCATACCACGCATTTGTATTCTACAGGTTGCCTGATTTTTTCCGAGGAGTCAATTTGATTCTTAGACTAAGCTAAGGTGAAATTACAGTTTTTCTGTAAGCCAACTGGTGTGCATGTGGACAGACGCGCTGACCCAAGGAATGCAGCCTTCCTCGCCTTCCTCAGGATCAGGCTTTTCCTCGCCAAGCAACTCTATGTCTATCACATCCCCAATGTCAAGCAAGGCAAGGCCTCTGAATCTTCTGAGCATGGAAACATAGACATAGACATGGTGGGGATCTATACGATTCTATTAGATTTCTATAAGATCTATCAGTGCTGGGGGCACTCTACAAACGGACAGATGAGTGCAACTGACCCATGGGGCACGATGATGCATTATGGAAATTAAAAGCGCAGTGCTATCTGCCATCACTCACGCCTCTCAGACACTAATCATATATATATGTAAAAGCTGAAACTTGAAAGTTCCCATTCAATGTATCCATGTGACCATATGTATCCATGTGACCATATGTATCTATGCGAGAGAATTAATATAGACAATAATTCATTGACCATGTTCCCTCAATGCATATACTGGAGTGGCAGTTGCTCCATCTATCTTTTCATTTTAAAGTAGGGCGTTTTTTTTCTTCAACTGGCGGAACTCGTTTTATGTTCCAGCTAAAATAGCGCCGTTTTCTTTCTCACCCCGCGGTGCCATCTTATGGGTATTTTGGTTTTCGAGTTGAGCCATCTACTTTTAGGTCGGTGTATTTAGAGCAAGCAAAACGAGTCACCTTGACTGACATGCATCAACATTGACACCAGCACAACGCAATACAACGCATGGCCAAAATTACTGTAAGATTTGCTCATCCACCCTGGACTGGAAGCTTCTGTCTCGTTGCTAGTTGCGCCGTGGCCTAGAGTTCTTCATGCTTCTCCAATATTCTGCTGCCAGGCTCGCGCAGATGCCACGCGGTCGCTGAATCCTTTTGGACCGACAAATTCGCACCGAATTCAATTGCCGGGGTGTCAATAGGTGGAGCAGGTGACGAGGTACCCAGAGATGTTAGCTCTGGCTCACGGCTCGGTACTTACCCAGTAAACCAGTATGCTGATGCGGGTGTACAGCTACCAGCATTTCATGTGATTGGCCAAGAGAAACAGTAGCTTCCATCAAATTAGGAGTTAGGAGATGGCGATGGAGAGAGAGAGAGAGATCAAATTAGGAGCTGTTTTTTGCGCAGATCGTTTGCAGTAGTGACACAGTAGTGAGTAGCGGTTGTTTTCCGAAGGTAGTCAGCAAGCATTTGCATGGATTTGGTGGAAGTCCACGATAAATTTCAAGAAATACATTGTCATGAGCCACCAAAGCATAGCTGAAAGGGAGGCACGTGCATTGATGGCTTGCTTTTGGTATCTTCATGTTGAGGCTAGTTTGTCACTCACATAGTGAACAGCATATGCCTGTTCCAAAGCGTGCATTTGCGTACTGAGCATGTTGCAGGATTTTTGGACACGGCAACAGATGAAGCTCTTTCGAAAGAGACGCCCCAATCAGGAGAAGGTCGTGCAGGTGTGCAAGACTGGGTCCAGGGGACGTCAATGTTCCTCGGGTTTCAACATTTTAAGATATGATTCAAAATTCAAACGTGTATATACAGATATATACAGTATAGCTAGTTTATTGACATATCTTAGACCATGTTGCACAAGTGCCTAGCTCAGGTTTTACAATATGCTTCACATCTCACCAGCTTACTATACTTTAATCTAGTTGGGCATATTGGTCACCGAAAAGGGCTCCCAGTGTTGTTTCTTTTCTACTCAAGATCTTCGAAGACAGCAGATTGAATAGAGTGGTAGTAGGGTGTCCATGGTGCCGCTTTTGCGAGGAAAAAAACTCAGAGTTGGCAGGGGGTTGTACAACACGTTCAGTATTAAGATATTCCGAATATTTCCAAACACCGGATGAATAGTAGTACCTGATATGTTCTGTGTGTGTGTTTGTGTGCTTGTATTGTGTCAACGACATGCGCGAAGTCAGCGGTTGTGCCACATCGTCACATCGTTGTATTTTTGAAATTCTTTGGGCAGAGACAAGTTCTTTTCTTTGCAAGGTGCTAGTGGGATCCAGCACGCCACCACCGACGAAACTAGCAAGGCAAGGCCATGTTCATTTTGATGTTGACAGTGAAAACTACTACGACACTTTAACTTTCTTGCAAGTATCTATCTAGGTAATAAAATTGTAATAACTATATATACATTAAATAATTAATGTATATTTGGACATATTTTTACTGTATTGATACAGTATAGTCTGAAGTTGTACACGTGCTAAGCCCATAGTCAGGAATTATTGACTACTGTCGTTGTTCTGAACATGATGTATTCTCCCGGCTAAGGAATCACTTCTGCCAACCGTCGCTGTTTGATGAGGGATATGAGGGGATGTGATGCATGTATGGAATAATCCCTTCCCCCTAATACTAAACGTCCCCCCCCTATTAATCGTATTAATAAACACCTCAGGTAGTTTTTAGTATTAGGGGGGTATTTATTATTAGGGAACCCTATTAATAAAATTAAACCCTTAATAATGAAGACTATTTTTTCCGATTTCAAAATCAATTAAACTTCTTTATATAACGCGATTGAAATATTGCCAAAAATTATCAAAAATTGGATTTCGAAGCGGACCCTATTAATAAAATTAAAACATTAATAATAAAAACTAGTTTGATCGATTTTAAAATCAAGTAAAATTCCTTATATAACGCGATTGAAATATTGCCAAAAATTGTATTTCGAAGCGGACCTATTAGTAAATTTAAACCCTTAATAAAAAAAACTAGTTTGTTCGATTTCAACATCAATTAAATTTATTTATATAACGCGATTGAAATATTGCAAAAAAATGGATTTCGAAGCGGACCCTGTTAATAAATTTAAACCCTTAATAATAAAAACTTTTTTTTCCGATTTCAAAATCAATTAAATTTCTTTATATAACGCGATTAAAATATTGCCAAAAATTGGATTTCGAAGCAGACCCTATTAATAAAATTAAAACCGTAATAATAATAACCAGAAAAAAATCGGACGGACCCTAATAATAAACACCCCGGGGTTAACTAGTTTTTATTATTAGGGGGTAAAACCCACAAATGGTAGCTTTATTTTTAAATTGTGTTCTAAAGGGGATCAATTAAAAATCAAATTGGCCAATCTGAATTTTTCCAAAATTAGAGATGACGGACTCTAGTTTTTAGTATTTTGGGGGGGGTTAGTAATAGGGGGAAAGGATTATATTGGAATAGTCTGGAATGAATTCATGGGATAGCAGCTGTTTGCTATTGTTTGATGGGGTTGCGGTTAGATCATGAAATCATCAGGCTTTTTGGCCTGCCCGGCCTGCCCGGCCTGCCCTGCGTGCAGGGACTCGAGAGGTTGCTGGTAGACTCTGACCAGGCTTTGCCTGAGGCTTGAAGCTGCAAAGTCTAGTCGCACATTAAAATGTCGGTGAGATCGGGTTGTTTCCAGGACATCGGCAATATGGATGCGTTTGACTTGAATGGAGCGTGAAGTGTTTCCTTTTGGACATTAAATGGGGCTCTTTAGCCTGATGTTCATGAGTCTGATTCCAACGCAACTCGCAATCAACATATCCCCCAAAAATAGACACGTGCAAATCCAGGTGTAAACCTAAGGATTGAAGAGCCCGTGAGGGGCTTCTTGGAGATGGCCAGCCCATGCAGAGCGCATCTCCATTATATAATTGTTCATAATTTCCTGGGCGTTGCGCAGTTCTCTCCTTTTTTGCCTCAACATTCAAACTCTTCAGATCTCTTCAGCATCAGGTTACATCACGGCAAGAGAATGTGGAGGCACACCCCATGCTTGGGGACCAGACTCAATTGAGACGACAGCCGCCAAAAGGTCGAGGCAGGAAGATGATGGGGGTAGCAGCCGGGTAGCACATCAAGATTCACTAGGAAGTTTGGTCACTGCATGTCACCACATTGTGACTCGAATCCATTGAATATGTTTATTACTAATTACTTAATAATTATGTTCAACCCCAATCGTAATTCCTTCAGAAAATCATTATGTACTGTATGTGCTCCATATAGAGCGTTTACGTTTTATGTTTGAACACAACAATTACTGTATGGTTCTGATTAGACACATCTGGCTCTTATTCTACAGCAGAGGACTGAGCTCTTGGACTTAACATGGTCAGAATACTGTCAGAATGTTGGTTCATGTTAGTTCTGATTGTTTCAAGGTAAAGTCCTTTTTCATTTTTTTCAAAAGGTTGCCGTTACTGCTTCCGCTTTTGGTGCTGGTGTTTTTTGGGTCATCGATTTAAATGATTTGAACTTGATTTCTTTCCATCCTGTATTGATACAGCATAATTACAGAGAGTATCCACCAGAAAAACCTACCAGGTTGGTGCTTGGATTACAGGTGGTCAACTTTTTCACGGACCCAGTGGACGAAAACTATGGCCAGATGTTGCTAAGCGCAGTGTCATTGGGCAGAGTGACAGAGGCAGGGACCCAGATCGTTCCCAGAAAAACAAAGCAAACTATGGACGTTGTACGATAGGACATTATCGTAATGGTGACAATATCGATTATACATAATATATAGTTAACAATATCTAATATACAACAATAATCATAATTATGTTTACTATTATATATATATATTAGTGTTCTTGTCATTATTATTTTATTATCATTATTATTACATATAGATTAGAAATACATTTAATAATTATGCAGTATATTATGGGTCCTCTCCATCTTCTTGCTTTGTTTCTCACATTGACATGTCCAACTCCTGGCATCAGCCATTGTGATTTATGGTCCTTCTCGGACCTAGAATGTTTCCTCACTTTCCTTCAGCAAAGCACTGCCTTAAATGGTGCAATTCATCCTTGAAGTTTCCTGAGACTGTCAAGAAGTTATGTAGTGTTGTGGGTATCGGTAATTCAAAACAATTCAAAACATATCAAATATCACAAGATGCAGTCGTGGACTTCACATCCACAGAAGTAGATTGCCTGGGTCACTGGCCGGACCTGGCCGGACACCAGATAAAACCAAAAGAAGTTTCCTTCACCGCAAGTCGCAAGTCTGAAAGTCTTCCGTGAATGCAATGCAGCGTGGGCAGGTGATTTGTACATCGGCCATCACCCTGGCAAACGTGGCAATCGCAAAGTTTCTTTTCTTTGCAAGTCTCACACGCATGGCATGCCACAATTGGAGCTCATGACAGCAGATTGGCCCGTGGCAATACATGACAATTGAATACAATTAATTTGTGCAGGTGTTGCTGCATGTTGCTGCAGCACTTTTTTGAGCTTGTTTGCGATCAGAGCCAACAACCCAAGGGTCCGCTATCACGCTCGGATGATCAAGCGAAGCAAAGCAGAACTGACAAGGCTGGATGATTTTGAGGCGACCTCATAATGCTTCAACCATATACAGTACAGTATGTATATATAATTAAATTATATATAGTTATATATATTATATAGCGGTTTATCATGGTGATTTCAACGGTTTCCTAAATATTACGTGCAGCAAGCTGCGTTGGCATTTAGGTCTCTTCCTGGGTGATGCCACCTATTGATGCCTCGAGAGATGCAGCATCAGGCTGGACTGGGGATATGATGACATGCTGTGCGACGGGCGATAATGCTAATAGCACCCGGAGCAAGCCAATGAGCAGCTTGATGCAGCTTGTAATTAATGTGGTTCGCTTAGCTACTTTTAGCTACATTTATAGGTCCTATGTTTAGCAATTCAACTGTGAGCTTCATACCATTGACAATTTTCCATGACAATGAGAATTCAAAGTGTAATCAGTGTAATAAAGTGTACGTTAAGCTGAGCCATATGGATCTATATCGTGCAGGGCTATGATGAGATCAAGTCAAGGAAAATCACTTCATGCCGGGCAGTAATTCATTCATGTTTTGTTCATCTAGTGCTGCTGTGTCAAGGACTTACAGCATGTAGATGCACACACACACACACTTGAAAGACCGCAAGTCGTCGATGGTGGATAACTCGATTGAGTTCTGGGAAATTCCCATGAAGGCCTTGTTTTGCCGTAAACGACATGGGTGGTTTTTGGTTTGGCCACCTTGCCATGATACAAGTTGAAAAATTGAAAATTGTCGATTCCGAACAGGTACGCAGGAATCATCAGCTCCTGCTTCCCACTTGGTTACCAAGCTTCATGGGACACAGTAAGTAAGTGTATATGTAATCAAATGCCGTTTCCCCCTGTCGTGAAACTTTAAAAATGAGTTCGGAGAAAGAACCCTTTGAAACATGTTGAAACGGGGACTGATTCACACACACACAGAGGTTAGTTGCCATGCGCGTCCATTTTTCTTTGAAGGTGTTCATTTTTATTCCGAGAATATGCAACCCAGTGGACCGAGAGAAGGCAACACATGCAACACTTGGCCCATTTTAGCCTCACTGTTTACATATATAAAATTATAATAAATTATTTATATATATGATAGTCAGACTATACCGAATTTGTCAACTTAAATTGTTTCCTGCCAGGCCAAGCCCAGATTTCAGTTCAATCTCCGTTGAGCCTTGTAAGAGATGCCGTAGCGTTGGCCAATGCATGCAGGAAATGATGCTGACGGCTTGGAGTCGCAAAGTCCCTTGGTCAAACTGGACACGGTATGACGTGGTAGTATTAACTATTTTTATAGTGTCTATATATAATATGCCCATGGTTGTACATGTGGTATGCCGGAGATCGAATATTCAGTGAACCAGATAGCTTGCAAACATCTCTTGCCTGGCCCTTTGCATTAAACAAATAGAAAACAGCTGTGTTGTTTGGCCTAATTTCGCAGCATGTCACGATATTTATTTTTCTGTCGAGGCTTCGACTGGGAGACCCTTCGGGTCCAGCTGTAATTTGGACAGCAACAAGTATTCACTTTCATGTTCGTACAATTTCGTACATGTTTTTTGCACGCTCGCTTAATCAATGTGATTTCTCAATTGCAGTTGCTTCACTACCTGCGCAACTAACAGAGGAGTCCTGGTGATACAAAGATGGACATTGTGTTGTCACATGTTTTTTTTTGTTTGTTGATTCTATGCCTTTGAAACTTCATATCGAGGTTAAGAGAGGGGATAAAGCTCAAAATTCCGCCAGAGCTGTTATACAAGAAGGGCATGAAGTCCCGTGAGCAGTCCCAAGCCCTACTGGAAGAAGTGCATTCAGAGTGCCACGAGGCCAATGTGTGGCTGCTTGATAATTTTCAAGCACAACTTTCACATTGACATAAGAAGGGTGGAACAATCTTTGTGTCATACGCCGCTATGACTTCATTGGCCCGTTCGACATGCCATTTTGATCTATTTGGATATGGTTGCTTTTGTTCCAGTACATGGTGAGCTCAATGCTGATCATGCTGATGCATGCTGATGCATGCTGTTGATGTGTGGTTCCTTTTCTTCGTTTTTACTGGCTCATTGCTAAGCATTGCTCAGCAGACTTTCCTCAGGCAGCCTTCAAGGAGGGTATAGCAAGGTTGGATGAATCCTCCAAAGATCTGGAAGCCAGCCTGTCCGGCCTGAGAAGATGCTCAGTTGCTACATCCACAGCTGGAGATTGAAACCGTTCATAACAGTTCTTTGTTTTCATTTCTGAATTTATGTTGAATTTCATAGATGTTCCAAGCTCACTTTCAAGATTAAATTGCCAAATGCATTCAAATGCAGTGTGACTACACAGGCCAAAATCATAAGCAGCATTTCAACGGAAAGCTAAGGAGATAGTTCTGGAAAATCGCTCCATGGCACAAGTACGTGGCATTCAGATGCAGCACACACTGGACAGGTGCTTTGGCAACGGAGTTACCTCCCCACTGCGAATCAACCTCTGACTTAGTAATCACTGTCGTGTTTCGCACGTGTTTGTCAAAGCCCAAAATCAGATCGAATAACACTTCTTGGATGCTTTTAGATGGTTTAAAATGGTTTAAATATGTTCAAATGTGTTCACTGTTATTGGATCAGAAAATGGAAAGACAATTCCACCGTATTGCGCGGTTGTCGCTCTGAGGCAAACCTTTTTTCAGCCCAGCCAGTTTCAGCCTCTTGCAATGCGAGTCTGCACCGTGCCTGGAAGTCCCAGGCGTGCACCATTCACCGGAAAGATTGTGTCAAGACAGGGTACAATGTGTTATGAAATGTTATGAAGAAAATTATGGAAGGTTGATAGATGGAACTGTGAGTTGACTCGCCAAGATCACTGGATTGATATACTTCATAAATCATCATAACTGAATCTTCCTGAGACTGGGCATCTATTCGCAGCAGACTCTATATATATAGATATATAATTGTATATACACATATTTTGAAATGTTTTTACAGTAATGTTTTGTCCTGATTGGTGTAAGGCCCCCTAGCTATACCCGCTTTAAAGTGGGTGCCAAAAAGTTGTGTCCCAGAAAAAAACACGCACTGAAGTAAGGATTTCAACTGGCTACAATTGAAATCTAATTAAAACCTTTTTTTTTGCCGATGAACTTGTGGTATTTGTAGTACTTGTAGTGCTTGTAGTACTTGTAGTACTTGTAGTACTTGTAGTACTTGTAGTACTTGTAGTACTTGTAGCGAGGGGTTCAGCATGTTGATTGCGTTACCTTTTCCACCTTAAGTTTTTCTTAATGAAACATGTAATAAGAGAAAGAGAAAGAAAAAGAGAAAGGGAACGAGAGAAAGAGAGAGAGAGAAAGAGAGAGAGAGAGAGGAAGAGGACGAGGAAGACGAAGAGGAAGAGGAGGAAGAGGAAGAGGAAGAAGAGGAAGAGGAAGAGGAAGAAGAAGAGGAAGTGAGGAAGAGGAACAGAGAGAGAGGAAGAGGAAGAGAAAGGAAAAGAGAAAGAGAAAGAAAGGTTGCTTTTGTAAAAGGATCTTCTTTCTTCTCTTGGCTCCAGGATCAGCTCTGGAAAAGTTTGCTGCAATTGTGAACCCTGAGAACAAACCTATAAAGGTGAACTGGAACTGGACCCTCTCATGGCCCAGTGCCTTGGAAATTTGTGGAAAAACTGTTCTTTAATAAGGGTTTAATAAGCAATCTGATTCTTTTGGGAACGGCAGACAACATTTGTTCTGCAAAAATGTCAAGATGTTTGGACTCAAACAGTGTTTTTCAAAAAACATGGTTTCCCAAGATTTCTTGCCACAATAGCGAACCTGCCAAACAATGCATTGGTTCAGAATGATTTGGATTTTCGTTTGGCACACTAGCGAGTAACCTAGCTACTAATCAGGATACAACATTAACAACTTTGTTCCAACACCAGAAAGTCACCGCTACATACCGCTACTAGAGAACAAAGTCACATGACATGAGCAGGTTTGATCAAGGTGAAATCAATGCGATTTTCAATGCGATTTTCATCGGTTTTGGCCAGGATCCTGTGGAGTTAGAAGCGGTTTACAAGCAGCGTGCTTTCCGTTGGACAACCTCCGGTGCCGGCACAGGGGCCCTGCCGGAGACGAAGTGCTTTGACAGAATCGTTGCAATAACTTTGACTTTAATTCATTTTGATTCACTACTTGTAGCATTTTGATTGCATTTTGTAGCATTCTATCTCACACGCATGACAAAGTATCACGAAGCACTGTGAAGCAGCTTGAAGTATCCAAGTCTTGCTAAAATCGGGCAGTACCTACTTGTAAATTGAGCAATGCAGCAAGCAGAGGGGATCAGAGAGGCCGTGCTGTCGTGTCGTGTATGATAAGCAATGCAGTCCTTGAAGTTTCTCTGCACGATATGCGGTACAATGTATATATATATATATGTATTATATATATACAGTATATAATATGACGTAATTTGGGAATCTAGGATGATCGGGACTGGAGATGATTAAAGCACATAGCATAGGTCTGAAACATCGCCCGGTGGCTTGGTTTCAAGGGGTCAAGCCCCTAAAAACGATTCAGATAATGTAAGGTTTTCTGATCAATTTGAAACCTGGTTCATCCTGGTTCTATTTATTTGCTGCTAAAAGCTTCCAAGGCGCCACGTCCCTTCTCTCGCACTAGTGCCTTTGCTGGGCCAGCGTGGCCGTCAGCGGCGGAGAAGGAGTTGGAGGCAAAGTGAAGGAGGCATTTCGATAGCAAGGGCTTTGGTTGCTGGTTGAAAGATTACTAAAGATTATGAAGGATTGATTGAGATGCTTGAGATGTTGCTTGACCTTTGCCCCTTGGCTAATGCGTGTTCTCTGACAGCATGTTCCTGGCTAATTGGTTGATCAGCTATGTAACGACCGTACTGGCTACCTTGCGTTGTAGCTGGTTGTATGATGTTGTATGGCTATGACGGATAGACTTATTTGCTGTTGTCGCCTTTGAACTCACAATCTACTTTAATTGCTGCACAAGCGTTAAGGGACTTGCTTGATCCTGGTACAGGTACCCAATATAATACTAGCGGGGACCAGCCGCTAGAATATGAAAGTTGGGGATTTATCGAAGTGAATTCTTGCCGGCAACAAGTTGGCCGGGAAGGAATTTGCAGATAGAATATGTCAAATGTAGAATATGTCAAATGTGGGGTGCAGACAAAAGATTACAGTACATACAGTAGTATGTATTACTACGTATATGTATGTATATATATATATATTATGTATATATATATATATGTATAGATATACAACTGTTTTTTTGGTTTCAAAGGAATTTGCTGTTGAAACATATGCGTATCTGGTGGCTTTGATATGGAAACATTTTTTCTCGAACACAAGTTTTGTCGTCATTCTTTCTCCTTAAAGTTAAAGTTGTTGGTTGGAACGGTACAGACTGTTTGTTCTCTTCCTGAGTTCTTGTGGTGCACATTCCACCAGCAGCACCACGCAGAATACCAGCAACCAACTTGCGCAATGCAATGTAGTTTTCACAATGTTTGTTCTTGTATGGATTCTGCTCTGGCTGCTGAAATAGATACTGAAATCTATCAACTTGTCGCCAGCAAGTCTAGTAGATTATGTTGGCCAAAGTGTCACCTGAGGTTGGTTGGTCGGGTAAAACTTGTTTGTACTCTTTGTGAATTCTGGTGGTGAAAAGTGCAGTTAGGATATGGATATACAGTGATATATATATATATTATTGATATTGTGTGTATATATATATTATGTATATAGTATATATGTATATAGTGTGTATATATATATATATTAGTGTGTATATAGCATATATATATATATATATAGTATATATATAGTATATATATAGTATATATATAGTATATATATAGTATATATATATGGTATATATATATAGTATATATATAGTATATATATAGTATATATATAGTATATATATAGTATATATATAGTATATATATATATATTAGTGTATATTATACACTGTAGTATATATATAGCATATATAAGTTCACGTACGCTCACTTATGGGCTGGCAAGACTGTGGGAAAACCACTTGCAAACCGCCACAATTTTCTACCCTGGTTCGTCCAGCTCACTAAACAACTTACCCGCTCGAGAGAACAGTTCATTATTGCTTTCATGAGGCGATTCACTGATCGGCACTAAGAAGATCTTAGAAGATTTGCCATTCAGATTGCACTGCTTGCTCTCCAACGTTGAAGACGTTGAAAGTCCAGATTTATTTGTGACAGAAAGACGGCTACCTTGATTACCCTTGCATAAGGAGAATCGTGCAACGTGTTAACATGTTATTGCCTGGATCTTGCCCGAGATTATATACTCAAATCTAGTGACGAGAGAAATCAGTGCATCCTCAGAGCCTTGCGAAGGAAAGAAGAGCGCCCTGCCTCCGGCGCACGGAGGTTCAAACACCCCATTCTCCCGCCTCTTTTCTGCTTTAGTCCGTTTTGATCAGGTTTGAGATCTTTTGAGCCATTCAATGTCACTAGCCTCTTGCACCTTTCGCTCTCGACTCAAGTGCCCTCAGTAACAATTGCAGCGGGATCATACGGGTTGAGCGTTCTGCAAGCAAATTCCAAACTCAAGCTTCTGCCACACTCTTGTCATGAATCTACACATAATATTCTCCCCTGCCAAAAATGTTTCCGAAATGTTGCTCTTAATGGACTGCGAGCATTTGCTAATGAAGTCAGTTTCAGAACTAGTCTCAGTAAGAGAAGGCAGTTTTCAACTTTGGTCCAACTGAGTTCTTTTCTTTTGTTGATGGGCTTGGAGATGTTGATTTTGTTTGGGCCTTTAGCCGAAAGATAAATTATGCAAATGAATCAAAGAACCAACACCCACATAATTGTAGCAGTTTGGATCTTCATGATGCAGCATGTTCCATCCTCAATTGAGGAAGCAGCATGATGTGCTCTACTTGTATGATGTTCTTGACTTCTTCAAGGTGATGTTTGAACCTTCTTCAGTTCAAACCGGCATAGGCTTGGGATAGGCTTCCAAAATCTGGCACTTTCATGTGTGCTCTGAGGTTTCGTTCCACTTGTTTCGACTTCAGCACGGATCGGCTCCTTCCAGAGATTGTCACCTTTCCGATGGTTACTGAGGTGGGACTGCAAACCATATACCTTTGGTAGGATGCTTTGGGCATCTTTGGGCTTTGTTTGGAGCTGCTTAAGTTGATGTTTTTTTGAAAAGCCTTGCTAGGTTTTGACAGGAAGATCTAGGAAGACCTTGGACATTGAAAGCCCACTTGCCCCACTTCCATTGGGGTGCACTTCAGAAGCCTAGAGAAACGCGTCTTCTGTTCAAGGTTGTTTGCCATTGTTTCAACAACTGAAGGCTTCATGATTTCATGGCAACGGGCAGGAATCATCAAGTTGACGAGATGTCGAGCTAACAAATGGGGTTCACTATCCACTAGAAGAATCTTAAGGCTGCTGAAAATCACGCCCGACAGAAATAGAGAGAGAGAGAGAAGAATCTTTATTACTATATCAGACATATTACTGTAAATAATTATGTTTTTGTTACCGATGGTTAGCGTTTGGCGTCGCTATGGCAGGACTTCATGGACTCAGTTTACAGCTTGTCCTTGGAGCATTCAAGGGCCTCATGGAGCGACACCAACACATTGATCGCCACATGGCTTGGAAGATCTTGGAAGTTCTTTTTTTTTTACTGTAGCACTGGGGCGGAAACAAGTCGTTAGTAAAAGTGAAACAATGCAAAGATGCGTTAACGTTCTGAGAATAAGAATAACACAGAATAATACAATATACATCAATATAATATAATATAATACAATGTCATTGAGGATGCTTGGACAACGATTGAATACACTCGGACTGCCTCGGACGCCAAGGAGTCAGCTGCCAAACCTGTGAAAACTGCAAAGCGCAGCTAGGCAGCAGCCCAGGGCCGATCAAGTCCAAACAAAACGAAAGACTGCGCAAACTTACATTTAGTTGAACATTTGTTACCACACCGCCTCTTTTGCATTTTTTTTGCTATCTGTTGTTTTTTTTCATCATTTGTGTATATGCTGAAGTTTTGTGCAAACCAAAGCACCCAACAGTACCAGTCTAACCTTCTCGTTTGGCCACATTCATGTGGCCACATTTCAGACCGTTTTCTCCACAGCCTTTTGCATCAACCTCCTTGCTCCATCCTGTTGGCACTGGCCCTGATGGAACTCCAAGGTGGGTGCGCCTCAAAGAGCCTTCAGAATTTTCACAAGCATTTCAAGTCAGTGATGCCGTGAGATGCTGTGAGATACCCTGAGATGCTGAAACTGCCTGAGCAGTGAGTCTCCGGAGTGCTCATTGATCTCATTGGCTGGCTAGCCGCGGCTAGCCTACTGACAAGCATTCCCAATTTCCCGTGTAGAAATGGTGTGCCTGCGCTTCCCTAAATGCAGCCAAGGGCAACTGGCAAGGTGCTGTTGGCAGCGGGTGCAACAGATCCCCATGCACCACCCCTGCATTTTCCTGTAGATCTAGTGTTGACATGAAAGTGGCAAGAGTTCACTACTGCCTACCTGGCCTACCTGTTGGTACCAAGGGCGATTATTCATGAGTAGGTATTCTCAAAGATCGATTCAAGATGATTCAAGAATAGTGATGGATATATCCGCAGAGAACGGTGTGGCAATTCGTTCATCAGTGCATATGGACCGATTCTGTTTCTTCAAAAAAGGGTGCATTGATATATATATATATTATATATATATATTATATATATATTATATATATATATATATATTATATATATATATATTATATATATTATATATATATATGCATGTAATGTATGTATGTATGTATGTTATGGTATGGTATGGTATGGTATGGTATGTTATGTATGTATGTATGTATGTAATGTATGTATGTAATGTATGTATGTAATGTATGTATGTAATGTATGTATGTAATGTATGTATGTAATGTATGTAATGTATATAATGTAATGTATGTATGTATATAATGTAATGTATGTATGTATATAATGTAATGTATGTAATGTATGTAATGTATGTAATGTATGTAATGTATGTAATGTATGTAATGTATGTAATGTATGTAATGTATGTAATGTATGTAATGTATGTAATGTATGTAATGTATGTAATGTATGTAATGTATGTAATGTATGTA